TTGCTCGGTGCCGGGCGCGGGCCGTCCCTGCCACCTGCCCGGCCGCGGCCATCTCTGCCTTCACGCTGCGTTGGTCGTCCCTCATCTCCTTCGCAGCTGCGCGGACTTTCGCCGCCAGTCTACTGTCGCTCCCGCTCCGTGGCACTGCAAAACGTTGATGGGGACCCCCCGCTCCTCAGCGAGGTCCTCGTCGACTCGGTGCACCGACTCGGCCTCCCAAGCTCCGTTGCGACCCTCGATGCCTTAGGCGACCACCGTGCGGGCATGCCCAACGGCAGGTGTGTTTCCGCGGGCAGTGCTGAGAGGGCTGCAGCACAGGTCTGTCGCGTCACGAGGCGTGGGCGCGGGTTGCTTCAAACGTTCAAGAAACATGTTCTTGCGGGATATGTGTTTGATAGCCGCCGCGTCGAGGGGCAAATTAAATCGCCTACCACTTTGTCAGGGTGCGGGCGGGCGAGGCCCAGTCACGGCCCTCGAGCAGGTGGCGAAGCATAAGCACGTTCGCACCTCCCCGGAATTCGCGGTCGCTCGCCACTACTGCAAGCTTGTTGTCCTCGGGGTTGCAGTGGGCAGGGCACTCCGAATGGGCGCTGGAGTTCTCTGCGGGAGTCTTTGCAGATGTTTATCTGGGGGCCAGGAGACCAGGCGAGTACAGGCGAAAAAAAAAAAGGCGAAGGAGGATAATGGAGGATACAATCTAGCAACGTGGCTCCAAAGCTTCCAAAGCTGGGCCAAGCTGAGAGCCAATATGCTCCATGATGCTCCCCCCTGACCGATGCGGATGGGCGTGCGCGCGGAGGTGCTACCTTCAGGGGTCTTCCTTGAGAAGATTGAGGTTTACAGGGGTTTAAAGTTGCTGAGAGGAGCTTGAGTTGACGTTGCCGAGCTGGGAAGCTAGCGGCTCGCGTCATGGCGCACGCCGCCTTTTGTCTCGCAGTTGTTGGGGATCAGACCTTCAGCGAAGTCTCCAGCCCGCAGTAGCTGTTGGTCAGGGCCCACCCCCCCCAGTTCGCTAAGGGGGTTAGATGCCCTCTGCACGCCAAGCGCCTGAAAAACCATCCCCCAGCCTCAGTCCTTACGACCCTACGCCCTGCCTTTGACACGGAGAATGACAGGGAACAATTCCAAACCTTCATAGACAAAGCCAGCCATGGGGCACTCAGCGGGTGGAGCTGTGCGATGCTGCTCGGTCCTCAGCCCTTGGCTTCACCTCTGATATCTCCTCACGACCCAAGATGTTGAGTCTTGATACTGAGCCGAGAAAGCCCAGGTTGCTGAGTTTCCTGGCTTACGCTCTACTCTGGTCACCGGCCTTCGCTTCGGTGTCCCTTGGGTTGACTTTGGCTGAGGGTTCAGGACCGTGAGAAGGGTGCCGGGTTGAGAACTCCCCCGAAGCTCCCTTGCGCGAAGGAAAAAGCTTCTACGGTGGGGTGTTTTTGCTGGTTTCGACACGTGTTCGTGCGCTGCCTATGCATGCTTATGCTGGCACCACCTTTAGGAGCACAGACCCGAACAACCGTCGCGGGAGTGGTAATCGTAAGGTTCGTGTCAGTGCTTGAGAGCCATGAAGCCTATGAAGCATACATGTTTCTGAGATAGCTCATTAACCATAGAAAAGTTGGTTCCTTTTTTCCACATCTGGCACAGGTTCCGTGAAGTGTGGACCGCCTACCTTTACGGCTTTGCCAGCCCGAATGGAGCATTTGCTTCAGACGGCCATGCGCAGTTGGCCGCGACAGCCGAAGGGACAAACGTTTGCGCGTCTACTGCTTCTACAAGTTGCCAACAGAAGTCCTCCACCTTGAGCCCGTGCACGCCTATTGACTCTACAAGCTTGCTGCAGAAGTCGTCCGCCAGCCCGTCTGTGCTTGTCCCGGGCGGCGCAGAAATGACGACAATGGAAGGCCCGAAGCTTCGCACCGCATCCACAACCTCCGTACCGGGGGAAACGCGACTGTACCTCCATGTTCACGTGGCCAAGACGGCAGGGTCATTTGTGAATGGAGCGCTGGCCTTGAACTACGAGCGTGTGTGCGGGCACAAGGGCTACTCGTACGATGCCTATCAGGCCAACCTGCGGTACTCAAGAAATCTTAGAGACCTGGATGTTCAGTTCTGTGTCTTCTTTTCAACAAGGTCCCCTCTTGAAAGCCAATTATAAATTATACTAGGCCCTTAAAAATCTTAAAAGGGTGTCTTGCTTCCGCTGTCTCTAGCACTGGTAAGACAGACGAGGAGATCCGTTCGATTCGTTCAGCAAACTTTTTCCGAAGTACAACCGGCAGCGAGTTCCTCCATGGATTATGAGCGACATCGGCTACGAGGACTGCGACTGGCTGTCGCAAGAAACGCACTGGCAATTCTGGAGGAAGTTTCAGAACTGGACGGTTGAGTTCCACCTCCCTTGTCGAGATCCCATTGATCACTTGTTGTCCATGTGCAACCACAGGGAGAGAGTTTTCAATTGCAGCAGCAGCGACTTGATAGCAGAGGTTGAGCGTTGCAGCCTGGAGCACGACAGGTATAGTGACACGCTGAATTCTTCGAGCGACTTCCCCAATGCCAGACTCAAGTGTTACAACATGTCGATGACATCCACCTACATCGAGTACATGGGCACTATTCTCCAGAAGAAGAGGCGCCAAGCCGAGTATCTGTATCGTCCAACAAATGAGCCCAGGGACATGAGCACGGAGTGCTTGCTGCACAACGCGACGGCCAGGACTAGAGTGGAAAGGCGCCTGCGTTCAATGATTCAAGTTGACCCTCCTGGTAAACCCCCCTCCCCCCCTCCCTGCTCCCATCATGACAAACATCTCTTCGTCGTCATCAATAGTGTCAATAGTGGTCAGTATTGGTGCGTTGAGTGTGCTTTGCATGTCAAACTCTTGTATTGGTGTAGGAGCAGTCGTTTCGTTCGAAGCAGTCCTTCGCCAAGAGTTGGAAACAACTCTGCTGCAGGTACATGAAGGCGCAGCCATATTATGCATTTTGTGACCAGTGCCTGCATTCAGAGCAAAATCTTCTTCGTGCGCAGATGATGACAACCGTAGGTTTGAACGCTGGCCTGACGCATGCGTCCACGAGCAGTGCTCGGAACGATACCATCCTGTACGCCCATGTTCATGTGGAGGAGACTGAAAGCTCGCACGTGAATGAAGCGCTCTCCTTGAACTACGAGCGTGTGTGTGGGCACAGGGGCTATTCGTATGATGCCTATCAGGCCAACCTCCGGGACGCGACAAACCTTTCCGACAGAGACGCGGCTGTTGGCTAGCGTTTTTTGTTGCTTTTGCACTTAAAGTTCCTCCCTAAACACATGCTTACCCCGAAAAGGGGGTGTTTATTCTTCTTCTCGGAGAGGAGACTCTTTCATGAAATTCTTGTGGTGGCCGACGGAGCCTCCGCCTGCCGAAGTGCTGGGAGCAAATGCCTTGGCCAAGAGGCGCCGGCTTGTCTTCAAGCAGGGCGAGAAACGGCGCCAGCAGCGAGATCGTGTGTGGCGGAAGGGCCTGCGTCATGGCAGGGACGCAAAGTACAGAGATGCGATCAGCAGACTTGACAGCAAATACTCCAGACATCAAGTTCCTGAATGGATTATGGATGAGATAGGCTACGAGGACTGCGACTGGCTGTCGCAAGAATCACGCTGGCAATTCTGGAGGAGGTTTCAGAACTGGACGGTTGAGTTCCACCTCCCTTGTCGAGATCCTATTGATCACTTGCTGTCCATGTGCAACCGCAACATGCCACCACTGGACTGCAGGGGCGATTTGGTGACTCAGCTTGACAGCTGCATCAAGGCCTGGAGGGGCACGACGGGCACGATTACCGACAAGCTGAGTTCCGATGAGTTCCCTTCTGCCAGGCTAAGGTGTTATAACTTTTCAATGGCACCCAATTACGTCGAGTACATGGGCACTCTGCTTCAGAAGAAGAAGCGCCAGGCAGAGCACCTATATCGTCCAACATCTGAGCCTAGGGACGTGAGCACGGAGTGCTTGCTGCACAACGCGACGGCCAGAGCCATAGCGGAGCAGCACCTCAAGCAGGTGCCGTACTACGCATTTTGCAGCCGATGCCTCGGCTCATGGCGGGATCTCCTTCGGTGAGACCGGAGACGAAGCTCACGGCAGAACTCTCCCGCTATCCTTGACCGGAGGGTTGGCAGCTGTATTCTGTATTTCAGTTGAAACCTCAAACAGGCCCTCAAAGGGGCCTAAGGCCCCAAAGGCCGTTTAATTCCTTTTAATCCTCAAGCCCCAAAATCTCAGACTGGTATGACCACGCTGAGCCGTGGTCTAAGCCCGAATTCCCCCCTACCCCTCTCAAGACTCCGAGACTCGGTTGCCCGAACAGAAAACAGTCTTGTGTGAGGTAGTTTGCACCCCCACCTGGGTTGGGTACTTCATGCATGTTTTAAGAAGTGTTGCGGGATTTCATGGATATTGGGTTGTGGGATGCTTTGGAGGAGACCCAGGCCAGGAGACCAGGGCGAGTACGGGCGGGGATAAAGATTTAACAGCTTACCCCCTGCAGGGGGGGAAAACGTGCACAACCAAAGCGCGCAAGAAAGAAAACAGAACTGAGAAGTTTTTTCGCATGTTTTTCTTGGCTCCAAAGCTCCCCCTGACCGATGCGGGCTTGGCGTGCCCGTGCACGCCGAGGTGCTGCCCCGAGGGGCTCCTTGAGAAGAGGTGTTCTGCGGGGTTTAGGGTCTAGGGTCTAGGGGCTTAGTTTGCTGATAGGAGCTGAGCTCTTGAGGTGACGTTGCAGAGCTGGGAAGCTGGTCTTGTCACGACATCCTCTTGTTTTGGAGGCCTTCAGCGAAGTCTCAGCAGTAACGGCGTCGAAGATCCCGTGCACCCTGCAAAAGCTGTTGGTCGCAAGGAAAAGGGATGCCCTCTCACCAAGTCACCAAGTAATTGAAAGACGAAACGCTGCCCCCTGGTTCCCAACCCCTGCATGTAATACCGAACCAAATCTTCATAACGCCAGCCATGGGGCACTCATGCAGCGGGCAGACCTGTGCGATGCTGCTCGGTCCTCAGCCCTTGGAGTTTCATATGAGTCATATGAGTATTCCTCATTATTCCTCATGATCCCGAGTCGAAGTAGCTGAAAGCCCAGGTTGCTGAGCTTCCTGGCCTCAGCCCCGCTCTGGTCACCGGCCTTTGCCTCGTTGCCCCTTGGACTTGGGAAGCTTAGCTAAGGCTTAGCAGCTTCGGGCTCAGTGGGTTCAGGAGGGCTCAGGAGGGCTCGGGGGGGCTCGGGAGGGCTCGGGAGGGTTCGGGAGGGTTCAGGGCTGCTGGCACCTTGTAGCTTTTTTTGGAGCGCAGGCCCGAACAACTGCGGGAGCGGTCATCGTAAGGAATTGATCGTGTCAGTGCTTGAGAGCCAGGAGTCTAAAGCGCAAAGGGCCCGAGGCAACTTATCAACGTTCTTTTTTTTGGTTCCTTTTTTGCCATACCTGGCACAGGTGCCGTGAAGTGTGGTCCTCCTACGGTTGCGGAGCTGCCAGCCCGAATGGAGGATTTGCTTCAGACGGCCATGTGCAGTTAGCCGCGACAGCCGAAGGGACAAACGTTTGCACATCTGCTGCCTCTACATGTTGCCAACAGAAGTCCTGTAACTTGAGCCCTTGCAGCCCTTGCACGCCTATTACATCTACAAGCTTGCTGCAGAAGTCGTCCGCCAGCCCGTCTGCGTTGGTTTTGGGTGGCGCGGGCCCAGGGATGACAATGGAAGACCCGAAGCTGGAGGAAAATGGGCAAACGCTCCTGTACGTCCATATTCACATGGCCAAGACGGCAGGGTCATTTGTGAATGGAGCATTGGCCTTGAAGTACGAACGTGTGTGTGGGAAGAAAGGCTACTCGTACGATGCCTATCAGGCCAACCTGCGGTACTCAAGAAATCTTTCTGGAGACCTGGATGTTGAGTTTCGTGTCTTTTTGCAACAAGGTCCTTGAAAGCCAATGATAAATAGTACTATGGGCCTCTCTGTCTCTGATACTGATAAGACGAGGAGATTCGATCAGCAAACTTTTTCCGAATTTCCACCGGCAGCGAGTTCCTTCATGGGTTATGAGCGACATCGGCTACGAAGACTGTGACTGGCTGTCGCAAGAATCACGCTGGCAGTTTTGGAGGAAGTTTCATGACTGGACGGTTGAGTTCCACCTCCCTTGTCGAGATCCTATTGATCACTTGCTGTCCATGTGCAACCACAAGCAGAGAGTTTTCAATTGCCGCAGCAGCGACTTGATAGACCAGGTTGAGAGTTGCAGACTGGGGCAAGACAGGTTTAGTGACGAGCTGAATTCTTCCAGCGACTTCCCCAATGCCAGACTCAAGTGCTACAACATGTCGATGACATCCACCTACATCGAGTACATGGGCACTATTCTCCAGAAGAAGAGGCGCCAAGCCGAGTATCTGTATCGTCCAACAAATGAGCCCAGGGACATGAGCACGGAGTGCTTGCTGTACAACGCGACGGCCAGAGCCATAGTGGAAAGGCGCCTGCGCTCAAGTTGACCCTCATGGTAAACAGACCCTCGTGGTAAACACCCCCCCCCTCCCTCCCCCGCACCCATCATGATGAGCATCTCTTCGTGGTCGTCAGTAGCAGTCAGTATTGAGTGTGCGTTGCATTGTCAAACTCTTGTATTGGTGTAGGAGCAGTCGTTTCATTCGAAACAGTCCTTCGCCAAGAGTTGGAAACAACTCTGCTGCAGGTACATGAAGGCGCAGCCATATTATGCATTTTGTGACCAGTGCCTGGATTCAGAGCAACATCTTCTTCGTGCGCAGATGACCACGACAACGACAACCGTGGGGTTGAACTCTGGCCTAACGCATGCGTCCACGAGCAGTGCTCGGAACGATACCATCCTGTATGCCCATGTTCATGTGGAGGAGACTGAAAGCTCGCACGTGAATGAAGCGCTCTCCTTGAACTACGAGCGTGTGTGTGGGCACAGGGGCTATTCGTATGATGCTTATCAGGCCAACCTCCGGGACGCGACAAACCTTTCCGACAGAGACGCGGCTGTTGGCTAGCATGTTTTGCCTTTTGCCTTTTGCCTTATCTAACTTCTAGAGATATGTGGGGTATGGTTTCTAGTCAAGCTGGAGGGGTCTAGACGTCAGGGCTTTGACAGGGCGACGATGGGGTGACGACGGCGCGACGACGGGGGGACGACGGCGCGACGACGGCGCGATGACGGTGCGACGACGCGGTGACGACGGGGCGACGACGGGGTGACGACGATGGGGTGACGACGGGGCGACGACAGCGTATCAGCCTCAATATGTCATATGTCCAGCATTGTACCAACGGCTGTCGCGCCGTCGTCGCGCCGTCGTCGCGTCGTCGTCACGCCGGCGCCGTGCCGTCGTCCCACCGTCGTCCTGCCGGCGTCCCGCCGTCGTCCCGCTGTCATCCCGCCGTCGTCCCGCCGTCGTCCCGCTGTCATAAGGCCTAGTTTGGGTTTAAACTATAGGCCTTATGACGGGAAACAAGGCCTAGTTTGGGCTGAAACTAGCCCTTATGTCGGCGTGACGACGGCACGACGTCGTCCCACGGTCGTCGTCCCGTCGTCCTGCCGTCGTCCCTTCGTCGTCTTGCCGTCGTCCCAACGTCGTGTTGCCGTCGTCCCCCCGTCGTCCTGCCGTCGTCCCCCCGTCATCCTGCCGTCGTCCCTGCGTCGTCTTGCCATCGTCCCTCCGTCTTCCCATGTCTTCCCACAATCGTCCCTCCGTCGTCCCACCATCGTCCCTCCTTCGTGTTGCCGTCGTCCTACTTTTGATGTGTGGCCTAACACATATCTCTAGATAACTTTTGCCATTAAAGTTTTTCCGTGAAACGCATGCTTACCCCGAAAAGGGTGTGTTTATTCTTCTTCTCGGGCACTGAACCCGGAGAGGAGACTCTTTCATCAAATTCTTGTGGTGGCCGCCGCAGCATCCGCCTGCCGAAGTGCTGGGAGCAAATGCCTTGAACAAGAGGCGCCGGCTTGTCTTCAAGCAGGGCGAGAAACGGCACCAGCAGCGGAAGGGCTTGAGTCACGGCAAGGACGCAAAGTACAGAGATGCGATCAGCAGACTTGACAGCAAATACTCCAGACATCAAGTTCCTGAATGGATTATGGATGAGATCGGCTACGAGGACTGCGACTGGCTGTCGCAAGAATCACGCTGGCAATTCTGGAGGAGGTTTCAGAACTGGACGGTTGAGTTCCACCTCCCTTGTCGAGATCCTATTGATCACTTGCTGTCCATGTGCAACCGCAACATGCCACCACTGGACTGCAGGGGCGATTTGGTGACTCAGCTTGACAGCTGCATCAAGGCCTGGAGGGGCACGACGGGCACGATTACCGACAAGCTGAGTTCCGATGAGTTCCCTTATGCCAGGCTAAGGTGTTATAACTTTTCAATGGCATCCAATTACATCGATTACATGAGCACTCTGCTTCAGAAGAAGAAGCGTCAGGCAGAGCATCTATATCGTCCAACATTTGAGCCTAGAGACGTGAGCACGGAGTGCTTGCTGCACAACGCGACGGCCAGAGCCATAGCGGAGCAGCACCTCAAGCAGGTGCCGTACTACGCATTTTGCAGCCGATGCCTCGGCTCATGGCGGGATCTCCTTCGGTGAGACCGGAGACGAGCTATCCTTCACTGGAAAGTGGTAGCTGTATTCTGTATTTTAGCTGAAAACTCAGAAAGGCACTCAAAGGGGCCAAAGGCCCAAAAGGTTTGAATTCCCTTGGATCCTCAAACCCCAAAATCTCAGACCGGAAAACGCTAAACCGTGGTCTACGCCCTAATTCCCCCCCACCCCTTTCAAGACTCCGAGACTCGTTTGCTGGGACTTTCTCCCTTGCGGAGGGAAAGCTCAAAGCTCTGTGTGGTAGCGCATAGTGCTTGTGACATCTGTGAGCAATTTGTCTTAGACGCTCGGTCAAAAGCGCATCTGCGTGCTCGGAGATTCAGTGCGTACAACGTGACTGGCACGAGTTGTCCAGTTTCCTGGCCAGGTCGTGGCTGCCCAGCATCGCCCGGCAGCAGAGGTGGCACAGAAAAAAGTCTTGTGCGAGGTGCAGTCTTTGTGTCGTACCGAAAGTCGGCGATCCCCTGGCTTTGGGTTCATGAGTAGTACTCAGCATGCCGCTGCCGCTGCCGCTGCTGTGGCAAGTGTCATAGCTACCACATACGGTTCAAACATGCATCTGCTGTTCGGTTGCAAAGCTTTGTCATACCAGGACTTGCCAGTCGCTAGGCCATGCCGTGAGGAAAGCACTGGCACAAGCAGTGGGTCAATTTGCAGCGCCATCAACGGCCCTCGTGTTTGGGCGCCGCAGGCGGTGCCTTCAACGAAAGTGTAGCCTGGAGTTCACTGCATATATGTATATATATATATATATATGTATTTATATATATATATATATGTATATGTATATATGGCCCCAAAGGCACATGGGAAGGGAGCCCAGCCTCCCTCGTAACTTGCGCATCTGGCCCCAAGGGCACGTGGTGAAGGGAAAGCATGAATCAGGGTTAACCATTGATGGGTCTTGTTCTGCGGTGCTGCTTCTTGTGCCTACATGATTGTGCGACCTGTTGCTGAGAAGAGAGACGTCGCAAACTACATAATGCTACCTTCAACTTAAAATCTATGATATCGATTCATACCCATCCTACATTTCCCTCGGCATTACAGCGTGAGCCCTCCCAGGCCTTCTTGAGCTTTCTCGTGCCCCCTGTGCCTTTGGCCTCTCCGAATTCCTTAATTCCCGAAGAAGCAAGCCCAAAACCCACACCCCAAGACATGCCCCGTGTCAACACGTTGAAATCGGACGCTGCGTCGAGCTGTTCTTCGTGCATGCCTATAAAACCTACACCCCTAAACCCTAAACGATCGCGCGCGCGCGCGGCCCTCAGATCATGCAGCAGAAACCCTGAGAAACCCCCAAACCCTCAGCCCTAAACCCTCGCATCGCCCTGCGATGCGGATTCGCCCGAGCTGTGCAGGAAGCACAAAACGAAGTCCAACATGTGTCGGGATCTCTGGAAGCGTAGTTCTTCGGCTCAAGGAGCGAAGAAGCTGAGTTTCCTTCGTTGCACTCCCCCTTTCGGCCCGGACAGGATGAAGTTCTTCAAGGCAAGCTGGCACAAGCAGCAAAAAGCCCCAGACAAGCGGGTTGTGGGTTTAGGGTTTAGGGTTTAGGGTGAGATGGTTGCTCCAATTATCCACGATTTCCTGACCATTCCCGGCCGACTCAGGGAACTTGTTAAGCTTTCGCCCTGGAATCCGAAACGGTCCGTGCCAGAGGCCGTGGCAATCGCAGGCTTCGGTTTGGCCGCAGCTCAAGACGACGCGTGCCACTCCGCGCACACCACCCAGGCGGACTGCGGCGCGGATGCCAAGTGCCCCTTGGCTTCTTCCGCATCCTGCTACTTGTACTTTCACGTGACACGATGTGAATCGCTGTGATTTCTTGTCTGCCGAAGCACCCATCTTCTCTCCGCCCCTGAATGGGTCTGGAGGCACCTGGTGCGAGGCGTCTGCCGTGCCCAGCGCCTGCTACACCAAGGACGGTTCCTTTCTCCCCATGGTCGCTGCGGTATGCTGCGGTGTTGGTTTTTTGGGTTGAGGGTCGTCAGAAAAGGATGGGAGGGCCAGGATTTGTTTCCAAAACACGGTTTGGGCCGTGTTTTTGCGCACAGACAGATCCGGGCCTTTGGGGTACTTGTGTCGTCCATGCTTCAGCCATTCGGGTGCTTCAGACTGGACACGGCAGGAATGAAATGGGCTTTTTCGTCCTTTTGGTGCTCAGGAGGACGCCAAGAAGCTCCCACCGGCCGTGTTCACCTGCGCGACAAAGACAAAGGCGCGCCGATCCGAGCTGCTCCCCCGCGCGGAGGCGACTTCGGGCGTTGACCCACTCGATCTTGTCATCTTGTCCGAATAAACATCGAAATATATGAGGCATGTGGGTAGCTCAGAGCGGTCGGTGGGGCCCGTGCCAGGTGGAGAAGCTGGGCGTGGTCTGGCGAGGAAACGCTTCCAGCCAGAGCTCCCACGAGCTGCTTGAAGCCGCGGAGTTGCCCTCGGACTTCAGCTGGTGCAACAAGGATGGCAAGAGCTACTGCACCATGTCCCGCAACCAGCACATCCCGCAGTACTGCGGCTCCTGCTGGGCCCATGGCGCCATCTCGGCGCTGGGCGACCGCATCAAGATCGCGCGCAACGCCCAGGGCGTGGACATCAACCTCGCGGTGCAGCACCTGCTGAACTGCGGCGGCGTGGGCACCTGCAAGGGCGGCAGCGTCGACGGGCCCTACCAGTGGCTCATGGACATCTCCAAGAAGGGCACCGGCATCAGCTACGAGACGGCGAACCCCTACGTGGCCTGCACTTCCGACTCCGATGAGGGCTTCTGCAAGTACGTGGACACGTCCTGCAAGGCCTTGAACGTGGCCCGCACCTGCGGCAGCTTCTCCCAAGAGGGCGGGCCCTGCACGGGCCTCGGCGAGTTCCCCAACGCCACGATCTCGGACTACGGATCCATCTCGGGGGCCGACGCCATGATGAAGGAGATCTTCCACCGTGGTCCCATCTCGTGTGGCGTGGACGCCAACCCCCTGCTGAACTACGAGTCTGGCATCATCAAGACCAAGGGCGAGGGCGTGGACCACGTGGTCTCCGTGGTGGGTTGGGGCACGGACCCCAAAGACGGAATGTTCTGGATCGTCCGCAACTCGTGGGGCGAGTACTGGGGCGAGACGCTCGGGCATATACGCTCAGTCCTGTGTTTTTTCGTTGTCATGCTCCACCAGTTCCACCCTCAACACCTCTCGCAATGTCTTCAAAGGATGGGCTACTTCCGCGTCGCGAAGGGCGCCCTGCTCCTGGAGGACCAGTGCTCCTGGGCGGTGCCTTCCAGCTTCACGGCCGCGGAGAAGAAGAACCAGGCTCGTACCGGCAGATCCAGAGATGTGGCCCGATAGAGTGGGCATGCAAGAATCCTTGAAGTTGTGCTGTTCAGGTGCACTGCCATGAGGGCGGCGACAACTGCAAGGCCAAGGCCGCGCAGATGATCGTCTGAGCCTGTGCGGTACCAAGCCGTTACTAAGCACTTGCCGGGCGCACAGCTTCATTCGGCGCCGGGCACGGCTCCTCGCTCTCCTGCGACAGCGCAAGATGCAGTAAAGTCTAGTATCCAGTACCATGCTTGTCTTCTTCCAGCGGATTGGATCCCTTGTCATAGTTTTGCACGGCTTCTTTTGGGAAGTGGTGCCAGACCCGAAAGGACTTGGGCCCTGGCCCGGCTGTCTCCGGACTTTCAATCCAGGCAGCCCGCGGCCAGGGGGCTGGCGGGTGGCGCATGATTGGGCCCACCAGTGCCGCGCAGTCCGCAAGACAGCAGTACGTGGAAGTGATGCCTGCTGCAGGCTTTGCTGTGTGAAAAGCAGAGCGCTTCATCCATGATTATCTGTGATTCTGTGTTAAACGCATGTCGGCGTTTGCCGACATTCTCTTCTGCATCTAACTGCATCTAACATATGTGTGAGTTGAAGCCGCTCCTTGCAGGGGCGAGCATTTCATGTTCCACAACCGCGGCTCTTTTGAGGGTCACAGGCAACGCTCTGCGAAAACAGCTTACTGTGCACCGTAGATTACATCTTTTTTCCAGGTCGTATCTGCCAGATGTAAGCCAAAACGACGAGTCCTACTTCAGTACCAGTTGGCCAGCTCACGCAATCGTGTTCCGAGTAGATGGCCGAGGATATTGAGGAGGGAGCCGAGGGAGCCGAGCCAGCTTCCGAATTGGTCACGCCAGGGAAGGCCAAATACCAGCTTCATCCAGAACCCCCCGAGGATGCCCCAGCGGAGTTGAGACCTGCCTCACCCAAAGGAGATTGGGTTCAAGCCACCGGAAGCCTCCAATCCTCTCACTTTGATGCCACCAACCTCTGCTTGCCAAGCAAATCAGGGACCTTTCTAAGCATCCTCCCGGCCACGACCTTCACTTTCGCAGGGCTCTTGGCCTTTGGCCTCGCCGAGCGCGCGCTCTCCGACTCGTGGAGGCAGCTCCTGCGCCTGGTGGGTTGGGAGCTGATGATCTACGTGCCGGTGATGGGTGTGGTGCAGCCCATCCTGCGCAACTACCTCTTCTACGATCTCCAGCCTGCTCAGAGTTTGGCCGACGCGTGGCCCCAAGAAGAGAGCGGAGGGAGCCGAAGTCAGCGGTGGATGCGGATCTCGGCAGTGCCCTGCTTGCAGCACCTGATCGCCGCAGCGTGCATGTCGTGCCTGGCCTTTCTTCAGTTCAAGGAGGAGTGTCTTGGAATTCTGACCCTAGACCCAAAAACCACAAAGCCCCAAACCTGAAAATCCTAAAGCTTTCTACTCTCGATCCTACAAAATTTCTTCAGTTCAAGCAGGAGTATCTGGGCCTCATTCCCTTTTGCGTGGTGGGTTTTGCCTTCATCCTATTGGTGGTGACCTTGCTGCTGAGATTTCTTGGACCCCCTGTGGCCGCCGAATCCTACGCATTTCCAATCTTACCTTGCGTTGTCGCGTGGGCGACACCAGCATGTTGACCATTTGTAGGTTTCGAGATATACAGTTTTTCATGTATTTATACGTATATATATATATATATATATAATTATACATATATATATATATATATATACATATATATGTATGTATACATATACATATGTATATATACATATTTGTTTGAAGGTTCTTGTGTATTCTGGATAAAGCTCCACCTCAGGGAGCCATCCCGCTGATGGGCGCCATCGGGGTGATGTGCGCCTACGTGCCGCTCAGGCAGGTTGGAGGAGCTGGGAGCCTGGGATCCCAACAGCGACAACCCCCTTCCTGGGTTCCAAGGGTTTAGGGTTTAGGGTTGAGGGTTTGAGGGTTTAGGGTTCCTGATTCAAACGAAGGGTTTAGGGTTCACTTTTCCATAGGCATCGATCGGGATGTTCCCGCTTATGCTGACAGCCCTTAGCAGTGACTACAAGTTCCCATTTTATATTCCGTATGAAGGGCTGTTAGAAGAAGGGGGGAAGATCCCATGGGATAGACGCAGTTCGATTGGGTCCAACATGGTCCAACCATACCCTTCTTTTGGGGGGGCCGGCTGCCCCGGAATCGGAGAGCACCGCGGAAGTTGCAGCTAGACTTCGAGCAAGAAGCCTCCCTGAAATTTTCAAACATTTGGGGCCCGAGCTTATCTTCCGTTGGCCCTGGATTTATACGGGTGTGGCGGTGGTTGCGGTGGTTGCGGTGGTTGCGGTGGTTGTGGTGGTTGTGGTTGCGGTGGTTGTGGTTGTTGTGGTTGTGGCATTTGTTTGTTTGTTTGTTTGGTTGGTCGTCGTCGTCGTCGTCGTCGTCGTCCGCTGTTGCTGGTTGTTTCGCTGGTTGTTCGATGTCATGTTCAGGATCGGCCTTCTGATGCCATTGTTCCTCAGCTGTTACGAGCGCCCTGGCAGAACGGAACCGCGAGAAGATGATCAAGTTCTGATTGCAAAGCTATGATCTGTCTCGAAAAGTTGATATAGGAACTACTTGAGCTTCTTCGTGTTTTTGCTTGTTCTGTGCCTCTTTTTCAAGGTTGCTAAACTTTGTAACAGCCATGGCAAGCATCCAGCATCGCCATTTTGGAACCGTCTCGCAGGCAGTTTGGGAGCTGGATGGTGACCCGGCGATTCCTTCAGAAGTTCATGGTCGACAAGGAGGTGCGTTCGGCTTACTCCACCAATCAAGGCGTTGTGGTGTCTTGCCAGTTGGCAATTTTTGTTCGCCATGTTTTGCGGATTTGGGAAGTTTGCTGGTGACAAGCAACCCAGTACTGGGGGTAGCACCTTAGGTTAGCCTTTGCAAGGTTCTAAAGTTCATGGTCTCAGTTGATGTTCAGTTGTCGGAGCTGTTTAGGTGTCTCTGGCGATCTGCAACCTGCATGCAATGGCCGAAGGGGTGCGGCTCACTCTCCTTTACGCCGACAACCAAAACCACGGACCTGCGTGGGTTCCCATCGTCAGCGGGGTGGTTTGGAATGTCATGTCGCGCGTTGGATGTTTGGACTGCTTCCTGCACTACGTCTCAAGGCGCCGCTGGAAACCGAACAATACTTGTAGCCCTGATCTTGGTTCGGGTGTGTTTAGGCACTTCATTTGCTTGGGATGCGCCCGAGCTCATTCAGTTGGTGCTGGTTGTCCTAGCGGAGTTGGTTGAGGACTGAGGCAAACGCAGTTCCTGTGCCAGCTGTTTCCTCAAGATGGGGGCAACCAAAACGAATGGTAAGGAATTAGAAGTCATCATCATCTTCCCAGGCCGAACGTAAATACACGTCTGGTTTATGGGTGCAGAGACCAATGGCTTGTGTCGTGGGGCCCGTGAGGACATGATCAGCCATGCTTTGTGGCGCCTCGGATTCGACGTGTCACCTGAGAAGCACTTCGCCACGGACCAGGAAGTGGAAATCAAGGTCAGGCGAAGGCAGAGGAAGCTGCAGAACAGTCTATCGAATGATTAGTCTCGTTCTGGTCCATATGTAGAGAACTTAGAGAACCATTTTTCCAACATGATTCACAAAACTTCAACTGCTGTGTCGCCAGGCTGAGCCGCAGGCTTTCTCAAGGCTCCATGACGCAGGTCACTCCCACCAAGCCCTCCATGAAACCGAGACCCAGCGAGACTGAAGAGATGGAGAGGTGGAAGGTGCGCGTGGCGCATGATTTCAAGTTTGGCCCCAAGGATTTTGGTCGACTGCCCCTGTGGGCTCAGTTCATGCCAGCCGCCATGGCACAGTTTTTGACGATCCTTTCGATGATCGTTGTTAGCGGGGGGGTAGGTATCCTGCTCGGAATGTGCGACGCCAGCATCGGCCAGACTGGCGTAATTTGGTGGAACGACGCACCTTGCCACGCACCTTGCCACTGATGCCCAGCTTTTTTGAATTAGAGTCTTGGCCTCTCAGCCTCACTTGATTAACCCGTCTCGAGAATCGATGATGGAGGTTTTTCCAACAGGTGACTGAGAGTGAGAGAGAGAGTGAGAGTGAGAGAGAGTGAGAGAGTTTCGCGCCCCAGTCATTGGGAATCCGAACGGGACTTGCAAACAAGAAGCCCAAGTCATAGAACCATTCAGGTTCCTTGGGGTGTGGCCAGCAGTTTTCCCAGAGCAGTTGTGTTCTGAGTGCGGGCTGGGAATTTGCTGTTGCTGGGTATCTTCACAGTCTCTTCGTGCGCGATGTGCACTCATATGTGAGAAAAAGGACACAGCAGCCGATCATTTTTTAATGGCCCAGAAACTGATGCTGAAAATATGTGCTTTCAACACCAGTGAACATGCAGATGCCTCGTCTTGCTGTCATGGTTTTGCCATGCGAGCTAAAGTGCCGCTCTTGCTGTGGGTCAACATCTTCTTTCTCGTGGGTCCCCGTGGCTACACGATGCAGCATGTGCAGCTGGTCTGACCGGAGCCTGAACAGTTGACCTCCCAGTGGTTCAAATCCTTGGTGATGGTTGTCTCACCCACGTAAACGAAATGCAGCATTTGTGCTTCAAAGATCCGCTGGCCCGATGAGCGCCTCGAAAAGCATGCGCCTCAATTCTTTGTGTTCCTAGGTCTTATACCGCTTGGAGTCCGTCATACACAAAAGGGCACATCATGCGGAAAAACCTTGACGCCTGGTGCGCCCTTCTCAATCGTCATGGCTGCCGTGCTTGGTGGTCGCCTTGATCTCGACGCCGGGTCTGGGAGAGGCTGCGGACAGTTTTGGATGTCCAGTCAAGAGACGGCATTAAAAACCAGGAACATAATGGTTTTTACCTGTGGCTGAACTTGGGTGGTTTCCTAAGAAGTTTCGCGGGAGCTTGTGCCCTGAATCTGCGCAAGGTTTGCTAGACATGCACGTTGGCAATTGGTTCTTTGTGTATGGGGTCCTCAGGCTTTTCAGGCTTTAGACTAGACGCCCAGAATTGAAGCTCCGGCAGGTCACCTTGGAGATGTCACGTTGCAGCTTCGATTTCGATACTTGTGTCTGGCTCAACTCGGGCCACGTCAGTTGGCAGCGTGCCAGTGGCCAGGGGGGATTAGGAGGCTGAAGGCAATGCCTCCGACGGCCAACCTTTCATCGAGAGCCCTATGTTGACCGCCACCGCCGCAGAGAAGGTGGTGGTCTTTTCCTACACGATGACTGGATCGAGCTCCGTATCCTTGCAGGTGGAGCGCAAGACAGAGTTCGCTGGCTGGTCGACCTTGTTTGCGGAAACACTGGCACGGCTGGGACAAGTGCCTCTGTCCGAGGGCACTGTTGGCCTCCGGCTCCTAGCTGGTGCTGGTGTTTTAGCTCCGTGGTCAAAGTGGAGTCGCTTTTGGCTGTGGAACGAGCGAATTGGGCAAACATTGGTTGCACCTTCGAGGTTGACTTCTGTGGGTGGTCCTCTGGTTTTGACTACCGATCATATCCAACTGGGCCGCCAGAAGGGGACTTTTCGAGGAATTACTGGTACATTTACACGGAAGCTTCGCAACATGGCAGGGCTTTGTCGTACTTTGCTGGCATGGCCGGGCCTAAAGCCCCGGAACTGAGGGCGGGGGAGGGTACATGAGGGTACCCCATTAGGAGCTGTCCATTCTCTGCCCGTGGCGAATAGCGGGGCCGATATACACGTTTTTTGGGGTCTATTTTGGAAGCAGATTTTTCTTCTAATTTCTAGAATCTTGTTGTAAGGCCGCTCGTCCCGGCCCAGAGAGTACCTTTCATCCGTGCCAGTAGAAGTGCATAGCGGGGGCGGCGGCAGGATGTGATGTACTGTGCAGTGCTTGCACTTTGGGGTTCCGATGCTGGGAGAAAAGAAGATAAGCAAGGACATCCACTTGGGCGGGCGTCTGGGTTAGCAAGCAAATGAACTTCCACGACATGAGTGATCTTCTGACAGGTTCCAGGCGTTGGATCGAGCCAAAGGTGTTCCACTAGGGTTTAGAGGGCTTAGGATCTTAAATCTGCGTGTGCTGAAATACTGTAGCTTCAGTGAGGCCTGGCTTGCGCGTGGACACGAGGGCCAGATCCAAAGAGCGTCCTCTTCCGGGTTAGGTAACATGTCAGCTGTGACAGGGGCCCCGCTCACATCCTGGCTCGACATTTGCAATGCTTGCAGCAGTGAAGACCCTTTTAACAGCCAGCCGAAGCAAAAACAGTGCACAGGAAGCACGCGCGCACATGTCTAGCAGGCTCATGTGAGCCTCTGATTAGCGCATCCAGCATGTGATTCGTCGAGAGGCTGGGCATGGCTAGGCTGCATGAGCATTCTGCTGAGTGATCTCCGGTACACGTACTCTGGGGGCCAGTTATGCGAGATTAGGGGGTTTCCGAGATTAGGGGGTACCTTCTTGGGGTCCGCATGAAAAGGGAATCCCAGTCTGTGGGGACGAATATTGGGGGTCCCCTATTGTCGTAAATCCCCATATCTGCTTCAGGGATGACAGATGGCGGCCGCCCATGTGACCGACTTTACCAAGGATCTGGCCGATTTAGTCGAGGCGCTGCCCACCTTTCATCGTGAAACTTTAGGGAAGCATCGGGGCCTTTCCCGACAGGAGCCAGGCAACTGCTTTTAGCACATTTTTGCTGCATGAGGGAAAGTGGTTAAAAGTGGTGAGTTTAGGGTGCCCTTCGGCCACGCCCCCTCCACAAAAAAGAAGCCTTACCTTGCCTGCTCCATTGCCTGATGACGATGAGCCAGGAACGAGCTGCAATGATCCAGAATTACGTCGACGAGGCTTGTACTGTGACTGCCAAGGGGAAGAACCTGATGTCAAATTTTCATGAAGGTGCAGTAGTAAAGGAGTGGCCCAATGCGCTGCGCATGCTTGCGTCGCATGGTGTGCGTCGTGTGGTGTGCATCGTATATGTCAAATGATTCCTGCAACAACGTTTGCATCCGTCCAGGGCAGGGCCGTCTCGAGGGACGAGCTGGCCAAGTACGTCTGGAGTGCCCTTCCCGGACCCCTTCCTGGACCATGATTTGCTTGACTCAAGAGATCTGAAGACTTTGCCACCTCAAAATAGCACCCAATGTAGCCCGAATTGCAGACCCCAAACATTGCACACCCCAAATTGCACACCCCAAATTGCAGCCCTTGAATGTAGTAGAGGTACCGCGAAGAAGATCTACAAGCTGATCCACCCTTCCAAGAGCAACCAGAAGCGCAAGTCGGCTTGGGACAGCGCCAAGGGCATGCTCAAGGAGCTCCCCGGTTTGTGTTGCCTCTTGAAAAAATGGCCCTAAAACCCTAGTAGCCCTAAACCCTAAACCCTAGTCCTAAACCCTAAGCCCTGAACCGAGGCTGAATGTCACACCAAAGTGATGGAGCCTAGCTTTCCAGCTTGTTAGCGCGCATTTTGTGCGCAAACAAGGAGATCATTGACTTCGAGCTGCGCCGCGCTTATCTGACGGAGAGAGGAGAGGATGATGTGGACTAGAGATGAAGACCAGCGATTATATACAAGTCTAGTAAACGTAGGTCCTCGTAGGTCGAAGGGTGCTGCGCTCAGGTTCCACCCAGACACCTTCCACGGTCCGTCGAGCGGCCATGTGTTTGGTGTGGTAGGATGTTGTAGGCAACATGACATGTTCTCAGATTTCTCAGCCTGGAGCTCATGGGCCGCGACCCATCCCGTTCTTTTGGCAGGGGTGTCAGGCACGTGCTGGAGCCAAAAGTGTTGGAGGCGAGAGCATGCTTCTGTTGCACGCATGCCATGCGGCATTTCTATCCTCTGTACCTTTGATCGCGCCTGATCGCTTCTTTTCGTCGGATTTGACTTTAAAGCCCTCCCGCTCGAGGAAGTGGAGGCACTTGCAAAATCTTGCAAAAAAGACAGCACTCGCTACTAAATTGAGCAGAACACAGGCACCTCCCACCTTCCAGGAATCAACCGCACATCTTGGAGCCAAGAGATCATTTGCAGACAGGCATGTCGCAATGGCGCTTCCATTGCGTTTCACGCGAATTGTTGCTGCAATTCTTGTGCGTTTCTTGACCTTGACTTCGCGTTCAAGTGAGCCAGCGGATCATTTGAGGCATGCTTGCTGATTGCCCCCCGAAAAGCTCACTCCTAACGCAAGCCTTTGCAGTGAACATATTCTTGATGCCTGCTGATTATCCAATGCGTTTGTCTCCCGAGCGTTTTCGTGGTTCGTGTGCACCAGTGGGTGGATGCGGCGTCGCTGAATGTGAAGACCTGGTGCCATGGAGTACGCGGCTGCACAAGCCACCTGGCATCCGCGGACGTGGCTGCCGGGGGGGAAGAACGGCTGCATCAGGAAATGAGCTCGAGGCTGAAAGGGCAAGAGTCGGGAAGAAACGAAGAGAAGAGCTAGAAAACGGAAGAGCAATAATGAAGAACACGAGTCGGGAAAGCCAGGCTGAGTCTTCGGGACGTGGGCTCCGTTTTCTTGGACGCGCCGCCTCTCACTTTCCTGTCTCCCCACTTTACCGCGACTCGCCGATGGTCGGCCTTAGCAGAGAGCTGTCGCCAACTGTTTCGGTGCTCAGTTGTCAAAAGGCGGCTGGAAATTTTCTTCCGCGCACAGGTGTTGCAGAACTACCACTACTTTGTCTTGACAGGGGAGGTTCGCACGCGACACTTTCCTCCGAAGCTGTTGGGCGAGACGGACGCCGAAGGGCCAGCATTGAGATCTAGTGACTATATATGACTATAGGGGATTCCGGCTGGGAGGTCACAGTTGTAATTTCTGGGATTTGGGCATGCCGACGAAGTGGCCGTTGTCAATCGTTGTCACAGAGGCATCCTGATCTTGTTGCAGGACGAGCTCTTGTGCGTAGACAAGCCTGTCAACTTCACCTGTGCCTACGGTGGAAGGGAGCCGTTGCCGCCGGTTGCCGCAAGCCTAGCTTGTAGAGACACCAACCGACGAATGCATTTGAGTGCTCATCGTGCTGGCTATGGCTGCCAAGTCTGGTGCAAAGACGCCAGCGCAGCTGCTGAACAGCGAGAAGGCGTGCCTGCCTGGAAGCTTGTGAGCTCCATGATTACAGCAGAAACGTACAGCAGAAACGTACTGTAGGGAATCATCTCGATGATTGTTGAGCATGACTTTCCGCTTGGGCGAAAGACTAGAACGTCTCAACATGATTTCAGCACTATCCTAGAGAGGTGTCTTTTGCTACGGAATATGGAGGAATTGCGGGACAAGCGCAGCTGCAAACCTGCCCCTCTGCGAACCTGCTACTCCGGGGTTTCCGAATGTAGGGGTACCTTATTGGGGCCCCGACAAAAAGGGGATCCTCCTATGTGGGCTGTATTCTAGACGTCCCCCATGGTCCCCCCATTACAAGACAATTCAATGGCAACTGGCAGCAGCCCGCGGGCTCAGCGGCACCTGCGCACCCCCGCAAAAAACCCAAACAATGTGAACGCGTGGCTAAAGACGAGTCTGCCATGTCTGCCCCTTTCGACTGGGACGACTCGTTCCATTTAAGAGGGGCTGGGCCAGACTGACTGAGGCAGCGCCTGCCTGTGCTGTTGATAAGTTGCTGCCAGGTACAGAGCTACGTGAACCATACATGACTCATGACCCTCTCGTTGGCAGACTCATCTGCCGGGAGAGCTCAAGACACATCCATCTAGAACCTAGCAGATGTGAGTCTCGGTGTCTTTTCCAAAGCCATCAGCCAGGATGCTGTCCAACTCCATGAGTACCTGGCTCTCAAGTTCGACTACGAGACAGCTCTTGGCACCCGAGAATTTTGGGCCGAGGCTGGGGTTGGTGAACGTTTCAAAGGATGCTTTGCCAACATCTCGAAGACAGAGAGGTGGAAAGGAAAGGTCTCAAGACGCAGCCGTGCCAATGCGGAAAGTGCGGCATCTGTGCCTGAGCTGCAAGTGGGCTTTGGGGCTTTGGCAGTGTCATATTCAGGAGCCGAAGCATCGAGAAAAATACAAATGTATGCTCCAGAAGCTATCAGATAAAGGTTTGCGAGCACCATTTCTACAGCGTGCGAAGACAACACCTTTGCAGAGAGCAATGAAGAATCCATGCTGCTGGGCACAGTCTTGATCCAGGCAGACTATGCTAAGACCCACTAGGGAAGAGCAATCATGGTTTTGGGCCACATCACTGCTGGGCATCTCCACCTTAGGGGGAACCACTTCAAAAAAACAGCAGAATTTTAGTCCCCAGTCCCAAGCTTTCCAGGCTTCCCAGGTTTTTTTAGGGGGGTCCAGGAATTCCCGGCTTCCAAAAACACAAATCTTAGGAGGGGTTTGCAGGGAGCACCCAGATGTTTTTTTTTTTTGGGGGGGCAGGAGCCCCCGCGCGCGGAAATGTCACTGCCGCCCTAACGAAGTCTCCAGGGGGTCCCCTAGAAGGCACCCAAGGGATCCACAGGCAGTCCACCCCCAAGCCCTGAAGCGTCCCTGAGTCGACGTGGGGCGGGTTCCACGCCTCTATGGAAATGCTGCCGGGTGACTCCCCAGCCCCCCGCGTGTGCAGCGCATCTTCCAATCCATCCAACACGCCGCCAGGGTCGACGGATCCGAACCTTCCGAGAACCCTTAAGCCAAAATACCATACCCTCGGTTGTGGTGGGGCGCATTAAGGCCGAAACCATAGCAGATCCCGTGGGCTCACGCATGCAAACAGGAGAGTTTCCTTTAAGGGGACCTGGGAAAAGGACAAATGGTTGCTAGGTGAATAATTACGCTCCGTGCTTCGCCAGTGGGGGGGTCACCCAGAACCACCTCGTGGGGGGGTTAGGCTCCGTGCTTCACCAGTGGGGGCGGGAGACAAAAGCCTTACCAGAAGCACCTGCGTCACCGCCACGCGTGATAAAAACCTTACCACAAGCACCTGCATCACCGCCACGCGTTTTGCCAAGATAAAAACCTTACCACAAGCACCTGCATCACCGCCACGCGTTTTAGCAAGACAAAAACCTTACCAGAAGCACCTGCGTCACCGCCTCGCGTTTTGCCAAGATAAAAACCTTACCAGAAGCGCCTGCGTCACCGCCACGCGATTGCCAAGACAAAATCCTTGCCACAAGCACCTGCATCACCGCCACGCGTTCTGCCAAGACAAAAACCTTACCACAAGCACCTGCGTCACCGCCACACGTTTGGCCAAGACAAACCTTACCAGAAGCACCTGTGTCACCGCCACGCGTTTTGCCAGGACAAAACCTTACCAGAAGCACCTGCATCACCGCCACGCGTTTTGCCAAGACATAAACCATAGCAAAAAACCTTACCAGAAGCACCGGCGTCACCGCCACGCGTTTGGCCAAGACAAAATCCTTTCCACAAAGCACCTGCGTCACCGCCACGCGTTTTGCCAAGACAAAAACCTGTGACCACAAGCACCTGCGAAACACACCTTTACCAAGACAAAACCTTACCACAAGCACTTGCATCACCGCCACCCGTTTTGTCAAGACAAAAACCTTACCACAAGCACCTGCGTCACCGCCACACGTTTTGCCAAGACAGAAACTTTCCACAAGCACCTACGTCACTGCCATGTGTTTTGGCAAGACAAAAACCTTACCAGAAGCACCTGCGTCACCTCCACGCGTTTGCCAAGACAAAAACCTTACCAGAAGCACCCTGCGTCACTGCCACGCGTTTTGCCAAGACAAAAAACCCTTACCACAAGCACCTGCCTCTCCTATGTTCTGAAAATTCTTGGAAACTTTTTTGTGAAATTGCTAGGACTAGAATTATCCGGAGTCCCACATAAAACGGCTTGGAAGAGAGAGCGAGAGAGAGAGAGAGAGAGAGAGAGAGAGAGAGAGAGGGGTCAGGGAGAGAGAGAGAGGGAGCACGGGGGTAAGTGTTTCTCTATAGGCAGAGAGTCGAGGTTAGAGTACAGGGGGTAAGTGCGTCTACTTAGGCAGAGGAGGTCCAGTGGCAGGTTACCGAGCCACCTCGTAAGAGGTTAGGGGGGAGGCGTCAGTGGGGGGGTTACCCAGAACCTCCCCTCGTGGTGGGTGCAGGGCAGGAAAAAAGGTTGCTGGTTGAGTACCGTGCTTCGCCAGTGGAGGGGTTCGGGTCTCCCAGAACCACCTCCTGGAAGTGTTAGGGGTGTCCGTATGTCTGTGCACGTATGCTTGCGCGCACGTGAACATGCAGGATATGGCTTGTATGCATGCATCATGCGCCTGTGTAGGATGTGTAGGTTATATGCCGCCGGGGCACATCTATAGCATCCATAAGCGTAAGGGTTCACGTATGGATGGGTCATAATGTATCTGTGCATCGTGTGCACGCCTGTACATGTGTACGTACGCACAGATTCATGTGACATATGGATGAATGAGAGCATGTAGACTGCCACATGTATGTGTGTGCATGCGTAGCCACGTACGTACGCTTTTGTAGATGTGTAAGGCACTATCACGTTCAGGAACTGGATATTCGGCTCCAAGACCTCCCTGCTTGAGCATTCGGTTCCCTGAAATTTCAGAGCCGAGGTGCTTGCATGCAAGCGGGCTGCTGCATCCGGTTGGATAAGGAGGGGGGGGGGCCTGGAGGCTTTGGGTTTTTTTGAGGGGGGAGGCTTGAAACTTGGCACTGTGCTGCGTCTACAAGAGGAGACGTCGGGCGTGATGGTGGCAGCCAAGACCAAGAACGGCTTTCCCGAGATTCGGATGCTCTGCTCACAGCCTCTGCTCTTGCTCACCTGTGTCGGCTGTCTGTGTGTTCACTGTGGGCATACGTCCTGTTCTTCCATGTCTTCAAGGCAGTTCAAAAGCGAGCACAGCCTGGAGGAAGGAGGAACGGAGAAGTCTTACTTCGCCCTGGTGCGTGGACAGGTGCCTTTTGCGCGTGGGTGGCTGCAGTTAAGTGGAGACTTCTGGAGACACAGCTGCCCTGAGGTCCAGGTTCCCGTGAAACCCATGCGCCCGAATGAGGCGCGCTTGATTTTGCCGGGCCTCTCTGTGAGTAGCCCCACCCCCGCCCTCCCGGGGGCCTCTGAGCCTAGATTGAGCCGCCCCTTGAATTTTGTGCAGGACTGGAAGCATGAGCCGCACGAGAGCAGCGAGCACGGCCGCCTCTTCCTCGGGCCTCGCATGGCAGAGTGTTCTTGATTTTGTGCCATGTTCTCCGCCCGCCCACGTGTAACCCTAAACCCTAAACCCTAAACCCTAAACCCTAAACCCTAAACCCTAAACCCTAAACCCTAAACCCTAAACGCTTGCGAAACGGGTGGGAAAAAAAACCCTAAACCCTATAAACCAGGACGAGGACGAATAGAGATTGCGATGTTGTTTGATCAGGCCTGGGTCTGTGGCTTCGGCCAATTCTTCGGCTTTGCGTCGTTCATTTGCAGTGTGGGTCTGGGCTGGGGCACTTGCTGCAGGCGAAGGGGATGGCATCTTGTTGGAATGATCCCAAGAGCGGCAAGGGAAAGGCCCAGCAGAATGGACAAGCTGGCAAAGGCCTGGCCGAAAAGTGTGACAAAAGCGTGACCCAGCCTGAACGTGCGCATCTCGGCAGGCTGGACAGATGGAGGCGGCGATGCGGCAGGAGCCGGATTTGTGAAACGCTTCTAGAGATCTGGCCAGTGTTGCTAAGTGACTGCTAGAGTGGTCTGACATGACCTATGAAAGGAAAGACGCCGAGAAGGCTATATGCACTTACCTTCTACGAGCCTATCGCCTGGTTCACCAACCAAGATCGAGAGCAGTCGGCATCCCAGAAGCACATTGTCATCTTGGAGAAGCGGATCTCTGCTGCGCCATGAGTTGGGATGTTCCCCCTTACACTAACAGTCACTGACAGTCCTTAATAGGGATTGTAGTAGCCCCTATTGTAATCCCTATTAAGGACTGCTAGTCTAAGGGGGAACATCGCAAGCCATGAGGTTTACGCTGCTGCATGTTCAGCTTGTGACGGGCCCGACGCTTAGCAAGTCCTTTGTTGGCTCGTGGCTTTTGAATTGTCTGTGTTCTTGGGGCCCATGAACGGACTAACCGAGCCAACGTGAACTCACGCAGTAATGCCTTTCCATGATCGCATGGTCGTCTGTTTGCTTGGTCTCGGCTACTGCTAGTGTGTTCGTGAGGTAGACAGGAAAGAGAGTCATTTTCTGGTGTAATTGGTTGCTACTTTTTGACTTTAAAAGTTTGTTAGCTGTCTTTCTTACCGGAGGCAGTGCAACGAGGGGCGAGAATGGTTTTGAATGAATTGAACCTTCTTCTATTTTTTTGTTTCTGTTTGTTCCCCACCTTCGGTGTGGGGTTGTTAGATTTTGAACTCGACTCTTCTCCTCGCCCCGGAACTCTTCGACTCTTCTCCTCGCCCGGTCTACTCCTAGAGACTCCCTGGAGTATCCAACCCAGAGACTTTCTGGAGTGCCCAACCCCGGAGACTCCCTGAGGCTCAACCCCAAAGACTCCCTGGAGTGCCCAACGCCGGAGACTCCCTGAGTGCCCAACCCCAGAGACTCCCTGGAGTGCCCAACCTAAGGTGGGGATGTTCGAAGTAAACTAATGTAGTCTTTAACTGAGTTGTTTCCTTGGTCCCTACACGCATGAGATGCAAACAACTCCTGACATCTTGTCTGCAAAGGCTTGTGGTTCGCCTTGGAATTTGGCCTAAGAAGCTGCACTACCCTGAGGTAAAACATAGCAAGAAAATAACTGAGCTGTAGGGTTTAGGGTTACTAGTCATTGCTCCGTCCCGTCTCCCCCCTTCTCCCGGGGTTTAGGGAGACCGGGATGCAAAAGGGTTTAGTGCTCACACGCCCTGTCTAATTAACAGTCCGTTGAATTTTCGGAGACTGTTCAAAAGCTTGGTTGTGGTTGTTGATTGTTTTTGTTTGGGACTTTAACACAAAACCTTTGCGCACATACAAAGAGATCTGGTTTGAAGCGCACGCTCGAATTACTAAATGGGGTTTGGGCATCTGAACCCACAACGCAAGCTGTCGCTTGCTTCTGCTGAGGCCGAACACACCAGATCAGGCCCGATTTGCACGTTGCATGTGTTGCCAATGTGTGGACAGAGGTGACTGCAGAAGTCAGGTTTCACTGCAGTGCCATTGGCTTTCCCATCGTGGGGGATTGCCAGTACGGTGCTCCGCCGGATACTTACACGTCTTTTGGGGGGAACTCTGTGTCGCTGGAAAGAGTGTTTGATGGAGTGTTAATGGAGGTTTTGCATGTCAGTTCATGTCGATTCCGAAGGCAAAGAGATCGAGATTGGGCCAAAAGAGTTTTCTTGCACTCTTACGAGGCAGGCCTGGGTACGCGGGGCCCTGCATGGGATGTCGTGTATTTTGCATGTCAGACATGTTGAAGAGCTCTCGGCGTGGCTTGCAGACCAGATTTCGGGAACCCTTCACCAACCGGTGGTTTGAGGCGGCATGCGCGTGAGCAAGAGCAGGTTGTAGCAGACTGCGTCGGATTGCAGCGGCATGTGCCACGTTTTCATCGTGCTGTGCTGTTCTTGTGGAGGCTACGTCTCCGCTGCCGCAAGATCTGGGTCAGCTGCTGTGTGGTTTGGTCTTGGACCGCGTGAAGGTCTGGGGTTTTCTGTTCACACGAAGCTCTCACACCGAACTGCTAGTACCACAAAACCGGTACCACCAAACCCTAAACCCGGAACAAGGCCCGCCAGAATCACACCTATGCGGGTGCCAAATCACCCTAAGCCCTAATTAACCCCGATGGAGACATCCTCATGGTGTCAAAAGGCATATGGGGGTGGCAGCCTTTGACCAGGAAGGATGTCGAAGCTTCCTGTCCAGAAGGCAGGTTTTATATGTATATATATATAATAGAAATACATAAATAAATAAATATATACATATATATATAAGTAAATTTAAATGAATACATAAATAGATAAATACATAAAAAATATATATTTATATATTTATATATTATAAATAGTATAATATAATATAACATCATATCATATCATATGATATCATAGAATATAGTATAATTTTAACGCTACGCGACCCGCCTCGGCCCGGCCCAGCGCATCCGCGTGAGCATGGTGATTCCGCAGCGCCCAAGTCGCCGGACCCCAAGCAATAAGGGTTGGGTTTAGGGTTCCGGGTTTATGGTTTGGGGTTTAGGGTTGAGGGTTAGTGAAGGGTTGAGGGCTTAGGACTCAAGGTTCACGGTTTGGGGTTTCGTTTTTTTGGGTTTAGGTTCAAGCCAAACCCTCAAGCAAAAGGGGGGAGGGGGTCGGAACAGGGGGGGGGCAGAGTAGGCGGGGGGGGGGAAGCGGGGCCTGCTGGGCGGGGCTTCAACTGCCCCTGGTCCTGGCGAACTTTCAGATTGTGGTCACCCACGGGGAGGTGCCCTTTCCAGGCGGGGAGGATTTGGAGGGGGTGCCTGTTCTCACAACCTATACACCTTCGATATGTATATATATATATATATATATATATATATATGTAAGGAATGTCTCTCTTATGTACCGCTGTCTTTTTGGGACTTTTGAAAAGGGTTTTTGATGGAGAGGTGATGTTTCAGAGAAAAATGCTTCTATCCAAAAGCAAGGGCATCCTTGTACAGTTTTGTGCAGCCCCATTGTAGGCAGCATGCCGCCTTGAAGGCAATCTTCAAGTCAGGAGCCCAGCCATCTCAAAAGACGCGGTCGCAGCTGAAGGGTCGTAAGTCTAAGGCAATACGATGCATCGACGAAGCTTCTTCGCTCTCGCGATGCACCGGTCAATGCTGCAAAGATTGTGGCAGAGACTTCTGAGTTCCCGGTCCAGGTACATGGCAAAGTGGAACAAAGCCAACCAAGCGACCATTCATGTAGCACTCGTGGGCATGAGTGCTGTGGCTCGATTTTGCTTGGGCAGGCAAGTCAGCCTGGTCCGTCTGGTCATGCTGGTCATGCTGGTCATCCTGATCAGCCTGGTCAGCCTGCAGACACGTCAGACCAGTGGTGGCGGGGCCAGTCCTGGGGTCACGAGAACGGGAAGTGGTCGTCGCCATGGGCGAAGAAACCAAGCGGCAAAGGCCAGTCACAGGAGGACTCCGACAGCGACGAAGCCTGGGGCACCTGGAAGCCCACAAAGGCGGCAACCAGGCCCAGCAATGGGGTGCCCGAGCCTGAGGCAAAGAGGCCTGCTTGCCGTTGCCTGTGCGGTTGTATTGATTCATTGGTGCATGCATTCCTCAAGAACCCTGTGGCCAGACCGCGGCTGGCTGCACCGGCTGCCGCACCGGCCGCCACACCGGCCGCCGCACCGGCTGCCGCACCGGTTGCCGCACCGGCTGTCGCACCGGCCGCGGCACCGGCTGCCGCACCGGCTGCCGCACGGGCTGCTGCACCGGTGGCATTGCAGCGGTCAGTTTGGAAGAGGATGGAATCCCGCCGAGAGGCACCGCGAGCATGGGAGAATGCCTTGTGCTTTTGCACGTGGCAACCTTCCGCTGACGTCGCTCTTGCCGTCAGGCTGGTGTTTTCTACTACCTCAACACCGTCACGAATCAGACGGAGGCAGACTTGATTGCATCCACCGGCTCTTCAGATTTGCTGTAATGCCAGGTTGAACCTCCAGAGCCTTGGGTGAAGCAGCAGTCACGACGAGATCCGAACATCTCCTTCTATTGGACCGGGAGGGATTACCTTAAATCTATGAGATGAGTCTCTGTGACTGAGATCTAAAGTAGTCTTGCTTTATCCGAATTTCCCGAGATCAGCCAATGCATTCTAGGTCCAGCCCTGCAACGTGCACCTACTTGCAACTCGTATAAGACTGGTATGAGACTTCGCTGGGCTTTTGATGTGTTTACGTGGAAGTGCAAGTCAACGGTGCGTCCTGCAGCTTGTACTCCCCACGTATGCCAGCCCCCTCCCCCCCCCTCCCTGCCCAATTGGCTGCTTCCGATGCAAAGAAAACGTGGCACGACCACGCTCCGCGCGCCCTGCGACAGTGGCATGACCAGCAACAGTGTGTGCGTGTGTGTGCCGCAGGGACAGAGGTAGTAGTTGACTCGCCATACGAATAACAATAGTAGTTGCTGAAGACTTCAGCCGTAGAAGTGCTCATAACAATAGCGGCACCTCCTTGAAGCCTGCCGCAATGATCTTGCGCCCTCTTTAGTGTTGCCCCCCCCCCCAGAACAGTCGAAAGCTGTTGTTGTCCCGCGTGACACGGCTCACGGGATGTTTATGGTCTTAAACGGGAGGAGTTCAACTAGATGAGTTTAAGAGGCACAGCGGGGCCCGGCAATTGATTTTACAGGCGCGCCGCGCGGAATTTTCTTACGACCGAGTCTCGAATAGCCCAGCCAATGTGACTTTATAGAGGCGGGCCCCACTAAAGCAGGGTCCAACATTGCCCACCACGACGCGCCTCGTGCGAAGGGCCCGTGCGCCCGAGCCCACATGCCCGTGCCAGGGGTGTCCATATATGCTGCTTCATCGCCCTTGTTCATAAGCCGCGCTCTCTTGCTGCTTTGGATGTTAAATTTTGGTGTGCCAGGAACCCAGTCACGGGTCAGACATCGTTGGTGAAGCCGGAACTGTGAGCAACTCAAGTGTGCTAAATTTGCGGTGAGCTCCGCAAAGTGCTTGTACAAATGCTTGGTTCTCTCAGCTGAGACTTAAGCCTTTGTAGGCCACAAAAAACCTTATCAGGCTCATGCACAATGCGTTGTATATGTAGTGGGGGGGTCATTGTAGTTATCACACAAGAGACCCTTATACAGTACCATGCTCGTGCAGCTGAGCGCCCCACCGAATTGTTCTCCTGGGCTCCCAAGACCAGTGCCGTGCGCATCTGGTTCGGAGAAGCTGCCCCTGAATGAGGCAAAGAGACATTGCCGTCAAGACTTTGAAGAGAGGAAGGATGAGATGAAAAGGGTGTTCCGGGGAGGGCTTTGCGGACAGCGTGCACCTGGTTTCAGCAACCTGCCGGCATTCCGCGCCGTTGAAGCTGTTTCCCTGCTCAAGGGGCCATGGGAAACGTGTGCCTCTGACAGTACTTCTGAGGAGGCTGTGTGAGTTTCGTGCTGGTCAGAGTTTACATGCTATGAACGGCTATAAGCATGAGTCAACTATTGATGAAAGGCCGATGCCAGACACATAACGAACTGTCCTCGAGAAGCCGGGAAAGGAATCTAGCACAGCCGTGGTCCGGCAACCCTGGTGTCCACCCTGCGGAAAGCAGGTACTTAAAGGCTACGACGTGCCTTTAGCAGAAGCCGACATGTCCCCGTGAATTGCTCGCCTCGCTCTTGTTGCTTGCCAGCATTTGGTGAATTTTATAAGCGGCTACAGGGCATACAAAAAGGCCAGACATATCTCCAAGTTGCAAGTTGCAAGCTCATTCAACAAGGGTTGCAAGGGAGCTGCCGAGGGACGCAAGGGAGAGACAGGCCAAAAGAAAAACAGCTTAACAAGGACCCCGGAGCCATGGGTTCAGTAGGGCCTCAGTAGGGCACCAGGCATAGACATGACCCTGAAGATGGTGCTGAGGGGGGGCCCTTTGACACAGAACCTAGTCCGACTAATCTGTGGCAGTCTCGGCTTGGTAGAGTCCCTTCAGGAATTCGAGGTCGGAAAGTTGGGGTGTGTGTGTGTGTGTGTGTGTGTGTGTGTGTGTGTGTGTGTGTGTGGTTTTTTTTTGCTGTCGGTGTACTTGTTTTGTTTCTTTTGACTGCCGTTCAACTGTAATGAAGTATCTCCATTCTCAAGTGTGTGTGGCCTGGCCTGTCGGAGCCTCCCACATGAGACTTCGCATTGCTATACAATTTTGCACAACTCAGCTTCAATCTGGGGGAGGGGTAGATGCACTGAAGGAATAACATGGGCCGGCGATCTGAATTTGACACCGCTAGTCTCTGCATATCTGGAGTTGGCAAGACGCGAAGAACGAATTCGGTTTACTGGTGTCGTCGTGGCATGGGTGCATGATACTTCGCGGGTGGCTTGCTGACCTGGGACGAATCCTTTGGGTAGCAAGCCAACAACAGGCCCACGAGGCTCTCTTGCCCTACCATGCCGAGGGCACCGTGCCCGATTACCACGCTCTTAACGGATGCCGTGAGGTGGAGTTAGTACTGAAGCAAAAAGAACCAAGAAAAGAAACAAGTTCGAAACAAACAAGAAGAGGTGTATGAGAACTTGAATGATGTCGAGCAAAGCTGAGTAAGATGTTTCTAAGACCCACGAATTTCTATGTCGAGTCGCGTCTTGTGCTGCTCACGAGCCGCAGCAGCCAAGGACAGCGTAGGGTGGGTGACAGTGACAGGTGCATGGCACGGCACATTCGCACGGTCAACAAGCAGCACAGGGGATGCGCCGGCCAAGCTCAATAAAATAGCCGCGCCTGCATTGCTGTTCTGCGCCGACCAAAGCTCGCGACCACATTTCTGCGCAGCACTGACCAATTAGCTCGCGCCTACATTGCTGTCCAGCACCGACCAATTAGCTCGCCACATTAGCTCTCTCAACAACGTCGCGCCCTTTCTCTTCGTCGCAGCATGCGCCAAGGGAAGAAGGGTGGCCGTGCTCGGCTCGCAGTGTGTGAAGGGAAGTGCTTTTTCTCACTGTTTTCAGACCTCGGTCTCCGTCTGCCTCTCCCTCACAGGCGCTGCAGAAGCATGGCCTGCACGAAGGGTACCGGCCGCTCCTTCCCGGCGATCGCACCGCGGCATCAAGGCCGCGGGTGGGGGGCCGAGCAGATGTCCGCAGTTCCGCATCCCTGGGGATGGGGAAAGGAGAGCCTTGGATGCTGTCCCGGCTGTTGCTCGTCTGCTTTTTGCGTGCTGAATTTGTCCGGGCCAGGTGATTTTTCAGCCGTTCCACGCGAGCTTGGAGGAGCTGTACGTAGAACTTCTTTGAAAAAGAAGTGCTCCTTCTGCGGGTGCACGATACAGCTTCTTCGCAAAGTATAAGGGCGTGTCCGGGAGCATCGAATGGTCATGCCAGCCTGCTGTTGACCGGACGTGTTGCCGTGTTGAGGCTCAGCGATCTATAGCATAAAGGCTCCAGGAAGGAAGGAAAGCTACTCCAAACGTGCCGCTCTCAACCATCAAAAAGCGTCTAAATTGCAAAGGAATATGGTCTATCGGCGTTTTCTACAGACCTCGAAGTGAGAAACGTCCAAAGATGTCCAAGGACCCAGCACAGGTCCGAGAGTTTTTTGGGTTGCAGCGGCGGATCATGAGAAGGAGGAGGGACATGGTGGATACAGAAGAATATGGAGGAGTTTCAGGCCGCCGTACATGTCTGTCAAGTTCTCGTACATGGAAGAGTTACTGTGAAGAAGATTGCCGGGCACCGGCTGAAAGATGTCGTCCGTGATGCCCTCAGCTACGATGCGTAGCTCAGGGTATCGCGGACGATGTCTGTCAGCCGGTGCCTCTACATTGATTCCTCCATGTACGAGAACTTGGCAGACATGCGCCGCGGCCTGAAACTCATCGACGAGGCTCCGTGGTATGCTGAGGATGCGGAGTAACGCGGGAGCATGCAGAGGAGTTCAGAGCACCCGGGCCTCTTTGGGGCGACCTTACACATTTGGGAAGGACGAAAGCGTTGAAATCGTGGAGCTCAACGACAGCCATGGGGCCCCAGTTTGCCAGAGGTCCAACTAAAGACGCTGACGGTCCTGATGGTCCTGACGTGTTAGAGACTGTCTGTGTTTCCTGTTTGGAATCCTTGTTCGCTGATGGTGGACCACCGTCGTGGACGCTCTCTTTGCTTTCTTGCAGATACCAGAAGCCTTTGGACGGCGGCTATCGCGACCTGCAGTTGACCTTGCACGTTGCAGGCGTGTCAGAGATCCGCGTTTTGGCCGAGTGCACCCCTATAGTTGATACAGGATGACCAGTTGCGAGCATAGCGGCATGGCGAATACCGTGCCCCCCTAAAACGACTCCATGCGAGGCGTGGTTTGGTGCGACGCTGTTGCTTGTCAAAAGCGGACGTCCAGCAGTAGCCACAGCTCCGCCTCAAGTTGGTTTCAGCTGCTCCGAGATCTGAGCTTCTCTGCCCTAGTCGGTCGCATGGAGGGAAGAGGCTGAGGGAAGCGAAAACCTGCGCTCAGACTCTGCGGAATGTGCAGGGTTTTGGCATCGGCATCGATTTCAGGTTGAGCGCGACAGCCAGCACACAGCGCAGCAAAAGCTCATGTTGTGTCCCTGGTTTGTCCGGCTCGCAGCATTTCAGCATGGGAACAACAAAGCATGCGTAAACATCTTGCAGCACCACTGTTGCGACGCACCAACAAACTGGCATCATCACAAGGCGCCCGTGCAACAATGTGACAGGGCAAGTTGTTACCAATAGGGTTTTGAGAGCATGTGGGCACGGTTTCAGCTGTTCACATGTTGAGCCGCGCTTGGATTTCACGAGCATTGTGCACAGAGCTTTCCAGAGCACCACCTTCGTGGCTCCTGCCAAGGCCGGGTTTGGGGTCTGAGAATCAGAGAGTTTGCGCCATCCTTTGCGCATGCCTTGACGTTCCAAGCGACGGAAAGGGGTGTTAAAAAATGGCCGGTGCTCAAGCCGATGTTCTCTTTGCCTCAGCTGGACCGTGGCCGACACGTTCGAGGTAAAACTCAGATGAGTACTGAATTGGGCGAGGGGTGGGGGGGAAGGGGGTGGGTAGCATTGGGTAGCTATGCCTCGGCTGGACTTAGAAGCCCTTCTGCGACGCTTCCGCGAGCTCATTATTTTGTGAGCCCAAGAGTTCGCTTCCGTGAGTACAACATTGCAAAATACAGGTCGGAACGTGCATCGTTTCTTTTTTCGGGTGTGGGATGTCAGACGTTGGTGTGGATCTGAGATGCTTGGTTCAATAAAGAGCACATGAGAATGAAACACTTGGCTTCAAGCCGGTGTTCTGTTTGCCTCAACTGCCACTGGGCTGTAGCCTGCGATCTGTGTGTCTGGCTAGCTGGCTAGGTGTGTGTTGTTTTTGGAGGTGCGGCGGCGCATATAAAATAGGGCGATGCAACTCCAACCGTCCTCTAGGGAGAGAGAGAGAGAGAGAGAGAGAGAGAGAGAGAGAGAGAGAGGAGAGAGAGAGAGGAGAGAGAGAGGAGAGAGAGAGAGAGAGAGAGAGAGAGAGAGAGGAGAGAGGAGAGAGAGGAGAGAGAGGAGAGAGAGGAGAGAGAGGAGAGAGAGGAGAGAGCGGAGAGAGAGGAGAGAGAGGAGAGAGCCGAGGTCCGAGAGCCTGGTGTCCTGGGCTCTTTGGCAGCAGATAGTTAGCATCTGATGGCATCATCATGAATTGTCCTGGATGTTGTCGTTTCAGCTATCAGCCATCGCTGGCAAGCCAAAGTCCTCACAATTAGGCGGCCGGGACGTGGAGCCGGCTGCTCAGCGCGGGAAGAGACACCGCCACACAGAGCGCGCAGTGGAGAGTAGCAGAGCACGGAGTGACGGTGACCTGTCAGCTTATGCTCGAGTATCCCCCCCCCCCCCCGAAGGCAGCTGGTTCTGCTGTCCTAGAAAAGTCGCATGGCCGAGGTTGAGGCGCCCCGTGATGTCGAGGCTCCTGGGGCTCCTGGGGCCCCTGGGGCTCCTGGGACTCCTGCTCCATGGAGTCCAGAGAGTTCGGGTCCATGGAGTCCACAGAGCTCGGACACCAGCATTGCCAACAAAGCGGAGAAGAACGAAAGTTCCTTCTCCACTTCCTTGCTGAACCTCACCAAGAACATCATTGGCGCGGGCCTGCTCTCGTTGCCGCTGGCGGTTCGGGACGCCGGGATGATCCCCTACCTTCTGAGCGTCACGTTGCTGGGGGTGCTGAATGCCTTCACCTTCTTCCTCTTGGGCTGGTGCAGCGCAGTTGTGGGAGCGAGCACCTTCGGGGAGCTTTGTGCCAAGTCCTTTAGTCCCAGGGTTGCCTTGGTGGCGAACCTCGCAGTTCTCCTGAACAACAGCATGTGCTGCCTGGCCTACTGTGTCCTGATTGGGGACTTCTTCTCCGAGGCTTTGTCGGGCCTGCTGCCAGGTTGCACCATCCTCCACGGAAGAGCAGAGAACCTATGCATCATTGGCGCTCTGCTGTTAGTGCCCTTGTCCTTGGTGACGAACCTGGCGCTTCTTCGATACGCATCCCTGGCAGGCTTGGGGGTTACGGCCTACGTCTTCGCGCTGCTGCTGAAGGATTTCGTCACCTTGTCAGACTGGACCACCTCTGGCCCACTCCTGAACAACGTTGCCCCGCTACGACCAGACTTCTTCAAGACAATGGCACTGATTGGAAGTGCCTTCATGGCCCACTACAACGCACCAAAGTACTACGCTCAACTGAAGGACCGGTCGGTTCGGAAGTTCGAGATGCTGGTCTGCTTGGCATACGGTCTCGCTTGGCTTGTCTTCGTGGCCTTCGGCATGTTTGGCTTCGCCCTCTTTGGCTTCCAGGCGGACGGCAACATCTTGAACAACTACAGCTTCACCCCCGAGGTGTTGGTGGCTTGGCTGAGCATGGGCTTCTCTGTTGTCTTCACGTACCCCCTGGTCTTTGGCAGCTTTCGGGACTCTTCTGGCTTGCTCCTACGCAATCTCTTCGAAGTGTCAGAGGACTCCACCCAGTTTCGTGTGGTTTTTACATGCCTGGGCGTGGCCTTCACCGTCCTTGGGGGCGTTGCCTTCAGTGACGTGGCGCTGGTCAATGGCCTGAAAGGTGCCATCCTCAGCCCGTGCCTGGCCTTCATCTACCCAGCGGCGATACTTCTCAGGACCCGAAGCAAGTGCATCGATGATAAGGCCCATGAGTCCCAGGCTCTCAGCTCGCGCCTTTGGCGCCTTTGCTGCTACGGCCTCTTAACCTTCGGCATTGCATTCGGGGCCATGGCCTTGCTGGTCATGTTTTTGTGCAAGACGGACTTCTCCGCGCTCACAGCGGCCTATCCCGCGCACATCTAAGTGCAGAATTCAAGATGTTTCAAGCTTCAAGCTCAGGGCGGACACACATCCTTCCGAGAACGGGAAGTTGGTGCTACGTTCGGGGCTTGAGTACTGCAGGTTTTGATGTGGGCCACCTGTGCCCTCTTATGTACAGCATACAACATGCACCCATATGCACCCTGCACGTCTGCTGCCTTGGAAGGACATGCCTCAAAAGCTTGGCTCTGGCTAATTGAGATGTGTACAGAATTGTCTGAATGCATCCTCGAATCCGATTGAGGTCGCATCAATACATGTAACTTATCGATTATGGACGTGCGTGCACATGAGTACTTGAGAGCAGATGCCGGAACTGAACCTCTGGTGTCGGACAGCGGGAAAAAGATCTGCTAAAGGCTAAAGAGCATGGGTCACACCGTCTGAGATGGGCGGCCCAGACATCTTTATACTTCATACCCTGTCCCAGGCAAGATGTTGCCTGGGAGATGAAGGGGCACATTTCGGCGTTTTTAGAAGTTGCCGGCGTCTTAGCTCCGTGCACAGGAAGATGAGCTTTGAAGGCGCAGTCTGCATTCATCCCTCTGCTCAAGCCAAGGTTTACACAGAAATTCCCGAGTGCTTCAAGAGCCGGGTGCTTAGCTGTATGTGACCCAAGGAGGTGCAAGAAAGATTCGCCAAACAGCTATGGCAGACAGGTTCATGGACAGCCTGTGCAGAGCATCTCTTGTAGTGAGGCAGCTGTGGCAAGAGACTCGCTCTTCTGCACTTTGCGTGGAGCTGGGTGTTCAGTTTAGCAAGGCCACGCGCCTAGCAAAGGTTATCTGCGACCGTGGCAATGAGGCAGGGGCATGCTCCCGAGTGAAAGTTTTTGGGATGTTGAGAGCTGGAGCTGCGATCTTCGTCGACGAACTGCATCTTGACATGGCAACCTGGACTTTTTTCATGAAAGCCTTGTAACCACAGTCACCCTATGTGGCCTGCCCATGCCTAGCCGGTGTTCTCTTTCCTTCCCCGGCCCAGCTGCTTCGCCAATTCTCGCGTCCTTCGACGCCGAGGCACCTGTCGTTGGTTGGTAGAGGGCCATCCCCCCCCCCACCCCCGGCTGATGACACAAGAAGCAAATGTTGAGAGCGAGCCTGCTGCTGAGATCTGCTATTGGTGCCTGGGGTGGCAAGCGTTCCTGAGTTATAGCAGGCTCCAGCGGGCAGCACCGCTTGGGGTGAGCTGAGCCCTCAGTCTCTTTAAATAGACATGTATGTTTTTCAACGCAGGGGCCTCAATTGTTGCAGCAATGTCAAGACCGTCCGCTTGATGGACTTGCAGCACCACGTCATCATCTTGTGGTATCATGGTGTACCTTGTATTCTAGGCTAACTCTGCTTGTCGCGCAAGGCTCTTGAGCCAGCGGAAGCCTCATGCGATTTTGGAGTCTTGTAGGAGCAGTCGCAACCAAAGATGGCCAGCCAGGTCGTTAATACTCGAAGCACTGGAAGAAGACAAGACGTGCAGTTCCAAGCTCATGTCTCTGCTATTCCTTGCCCCATGACTCAGAGGTGCTCTCGCACAATCGCCCGTTCTGCACACGTCGCTTGAGCATGTCGAATGGAAAGCCCCTGCCGCGGAAGCACGTTTCATGGTGTGAGGAAGACGGAGGAGGTGTGAGGGCAAGAGAACGGGAATGGGAGGACGACAGAAAACTAGAACACAGGCCCCCTGGGCCAGGAAGGAAGAGAGAGAGAGAGAGAGAGAGAGAGAGAGAGACAGTCCTCGGCGTGCCGAAGGACTTGTAGGCCCAGTCAAAAGTTTCGGGCCGAGCACCACACGACCTGAGTGGGAAAACGTCGTTTCAAACGCGCTCCAAAGCATAATGGGCAGGGCTTAGGATCCCGTCAGCTGCAAGAAGGTCCTCGACTTCCTCCCGCCGTTACAGGGTCAAACTTTCGAGGCGTACGACCAGCTCAAGCAAGAAGAGGCCGAGAAAGACGAAGGCCTTTCGCTGTTGCTTTGCTCTGTCCAGCAAAGCTCATGTTTGGTTTTGTGTTGGAGCTTGTGCTGCGGAAGTAGTGCTTCAGCCAAGACGGCGGTGAGCTGAGCGATGGAAACTGAGTTTGAGTTTTTCGCCCCTTGTGTAGCAGGAGATCGCAACGCTCAGAAACCAGATCCCGAGGCATAGATCAGACGAGACATCAAAATCGCTCGGCGACGCACTACAAAACTGGCGGGGGGGGGGGGGGGGGGGGTGGGTGCTTGAAGCGTCCGCCTTAAACAAGGGTAGCCTTACTTGTTAATTGTTGAGTACAAATACGTTCTTGTTGCAAAAAGAACGTCATTCTAGGCAAACCCGATGGTGCTCCCAGGTATGCGTGTGCGAGGAGGCCTCGACCTGAGTGGGTGGGCGGTTTTCTATTTCATATGTCGGTATTGGTACGGTGCCCTGCGAAATCCCTCACAGGCACGGCTCCTTTGGAACCCCCCCTTGGCAGAGGATAGATTCGAGAAAGCCGTGTAGCAAGCGCGTTCCACCGGCTGGACAAGATTGTCCCAATTCCCCAGACGCCTTGCAAAGCCTACAATTGCACGGGTATGAACCAGAAGGCTTCGATGCAGAGTATTGTGTTGACATGCTGAGTTGTTTGTGGTACTTCAGAACTGCCTTCCGTCGTGCTGAGTTCCGACCCGCGTGAGGTGGCTAGTTGAGTTCAGTTCGCAAGCCATGATTCGCGGCATTTGCATCCTCCTCGCCCTCCGCGGCGGCGCAGCCGAACCCAACAGCGACGCGGTGCCAACTTGCGCCAAGAAGGGCGTGACCTACGTGAGCGATGTCAAGGGCACGCCAAATTCCGCGTGGCTCTACACCCCGAAGATGTGCCAGATGGCCTGCTACATTAACCCATCCTGCAAGCATTTCTCGTGGAAGGAGGACTCTTTCCCCGGCGGTGCCTGCAACCTCCTGGGAGAGGATGTGCAGGAGAAGGTCGATGAGAAGTCGTACAGCGGCCCAAAGGCCTGTGTGGGTGAGGTCCCGGTGAACGCGGCGTCGATGGCGGATGCTGCAAGCAATGTCGGCAACACGCTGAACCAATTTGGCAACGATCTTGCCCAGAAGGCAAACGAGGTCGGCAGCCAGTTCAGCAACCAGCTGAATCAGGCCAGTCAGGATCTGGACAAGTTTGGAAAGGATTTGACCCAGAAGGCCAATCAAGCCACCAGTGACCTGAGCCAGAAGGCCAATGAGTTCCACAACCAGGTCAACCAAGTCGGGCAGGATCTCGCCCAGCAGGCAAATCAGGCCATGGACGATCTGACCCAGAAGGCCAATCAGGCCAACAGTGATCTGACCCAGCAGACCAAGGATTTCAACAGCAAAGCCATCAAGATTCAACAGGATCTCCTCCAGGCCGGAAAGGACTTGAGTCAGAATGCCAATCAGGCCGGCAGCAGCCTGAGCAATGAGCTGAGCCAGAAGGCCAAGGAGTTCCAGAGCGATGTGAACAAGCTCCGGCAGGAAGTGGGCCAGCAGAAAAATCAGGTTGCAGCGGATCTGACCCAGAAGACCAATGAGGTCAGTGGAGACCTCAACCAGATGTCAAAGGAGTTCAACAGCCAGGCCAACCAGCTCGGGCAGGATTTGACCCAACAGGCAAATAAGGTTGGCGACGTTCTGACCCAGAAGGCCAACCAGGCCAGCAGCGACCTGAGCCAGAAGGCGGATGAGCTCAACGATGCCGGCAAGGACCTGACACAGACGGCCCAGGATGCGATGGAGTCCGCGGGATTGCAGGCCAAGGAGGCCGCCGACCAGATGGGCGACAAGGCCAACGAGATCCTCGGCTCCGCTCCGGGAAGCTCGGGCGGCGGTGGCGACAACACCATGACCTACGGCGTGATCGGGGGCATCGCCGGGGCCCTTGCGTTGGCGGGCGGCGCCTACTACTTCATGTCCGGAGATGAGAAGAAGAAAAAGAAGTCCAAGCGCGCCGTCAGTGTGGACGCAGCGCCCATGATCGAGGAGGCGCCGGAGGTCCCTCAGGTCACCGCGCCACAGGCCTTCCCGCAGCAGTTCCAGAACCAGGTCCTTTGTGGGGACGAAATGAACCCGAAAAGGTAAACATGTTCGTGGGTTCGGTTCACGTGTGCTCCACAGGTCCAGAACGTGATGGCCTACGCCAACCAGCAGATGCAGCAGGCTGCGCCACGGTACTATCAGGTGCCGCAACAGGCCCAGGCCTACCAGACCGCCACCTACCAGCCGACCTACCAGGGCGGCTACCAGGTGCTGGGGGCCAAAATTTCGGGAGGGCCCCAAAACTCTGCGTCAACCTATACCCATAGCCGAGAGAGAGGTCGGCATCGCACCTGCTTTTGAGCCCTTTGCAGCAGGTCCCGAGGATGTGAGCTGCAAAACCACACGCTGACCAGTCGGCTGGTGAGAAGCCTCCGACATAGTTTTGATAGTTTTAAGTTTTCCTGCGGCGATCCAGGTCCCAAGGCTGGCTTCGTCTTCCCTTCGCCTGTCCAAGACACTGTACACGCCCAGTAGGTCTCAATGTGCCATCCGCTATCACGAAAGCACGCGAGCTCCGAAAGTGTAGCCTCCGAGGCTTACAGGTATGCCTTTTGCACTGTTGACATTGGTTCCGGGGTCCCTTTTCCCTCGGAAGGAAGGTTCATTTGGGGGGGTGGGGGCTGGGGGCTGGGGGCTGGGAGGGGGGGGGGGAGGTTTTGAAGAACACTTACATGTGCTGAGAAGTTGAGGATGCGGCTGGGGCGTAGTAATAGGGGGTTCTTATGTTTTCGGAGTGGAGTTGGCTGAAGTACCCGGTGTGATGCACGATTTGACGGGAGCGTCTGTGTTTGGACACGAGCCTTGCAAAACATAGCATATACGTATTCGCATGGGCATGAATCAGAAGGCTTGGATGCAAGTTCTCACATGCTGAGTTGTTTGTGGTACTTCAGAGCTGGACTGCCTTCCGTCGTGCTGAGTTCCGACCCGCGTGAGGTGGCTAGTTGAGTTCAGTTCGCAAGCCATGATTCGCGGCATTTGCATCCTCCTCGCCCTCCGCGGCGGCGCAGCCGAACCCAACAGCGACGCGGTGCCAACTTGCGCCAAGAAGGGCGTGACCTACGTGAGCGATGTCAAGGGCACGCCAAATTCCGCGTGGCTCTACACCCCGAAGATGTGCCAGATGGCCTGCTACATTAACCCATCCTGCAAGCATTTCTCGTGGAAGGAGGACTCTTTCCCCGGCGGTGCCTGCAACCTTCTGGGAGAGGATGTGCAGGAGAAGGTCGATGAGAAGTCGTACAGCGGCCCAAAGGCCTGTGCGGGTGAGGTCCCGGTGAACGCGGCGTCGATGGCGGATGCTGCAAGCAATGTCGGCAACACGCTGAACCAATTTGGCAACGATCTTGCCCAGAAGGCAAACGAGGTCGGCAGCCAGTTCAGCAACCAGCTGAATCAGGCCAGTCAGGATCTGGACAAGTTTGGAAAGGATTTGACCCAGAAGGCCAATCAAGCCACCAGTGACCTGAGCCAGAAGGCCAATGAGTTCCACAACCAGGTCAACCAAGTCGGGCAGGATCTCGCCCAGCAGGCAAATCAGGCCATGGACGATCTGACCCAGAAGGCCAATCAGGCCAACAGTGATCTGACCCAGCAGACCAAGGATTTCAACAGCAAAGCCATCAAGATTCAACAGGATCTCCTCCAGGCCGGAAAGGACTTGAGTCAGAATGCCAATCAGGCCGGCAGCAGCCTGAGCAATGAGCTGAGCCAGAAGGCCAAGGAGTTCCAGAGCGATGTGAACAAGCTCCGGCAGGAAGTGGGCCAGCAGAAAAATCAGGTTGCAGCGGATCTGACCCAGAAGACCAATGAGGTCAGTGGAGACCTCAACCAGATGTCAAAGGAGTTCAACAGCCAGGCCAACCAGCTCGGGCAGGATTTGACCCAACAGGCAAATAAGGTTGGCGACGTTCTGACCCAGAAGGCCAACCAGGCCAGCAGCGACCTGAGCCAGAAGGCGGATGAGCTCAACGATGCCGGCAAGGACCTGACACAGACGGCCCAGGATGCGATGGAGTCCGCGGGATTGCAGGCCAAGGAGGCCGCCGACCAGATGGGCGACAAGGCCAACGAGATCCTCGGCTCCGCTCCGGGAAGCTCGGGCGGCGGTGGCGACAACACCATGACCTACGGCGTGATCGGGGGCATCGCCGGGGCCCTTGCGTTGGCGGGCGGCGCCTACTACTTCATGTCCGGAGATGAGAAGAAGAAAAAGAAGTCCAAGCGCGCCGTCAGTGTGGACGCAGCGCCCATGATCGAGGAGGCGCCGGAGGTCCCTCAGGTCACCGCGCCACAGGCCTTCCCGCAGCAGTTCCAGAACCAGGTCCTTTGTGGGGACGAAATGAACCCGAAAAGGTAAACATGTTCGTGGGTTCGGTTCACGTGTGCTCCACAGGTCCAGAACGTGATGGCCTACGCCAACCAGCAGATGCAGCAGGCTGCGCCACGGTACTATCAGGTGCCGCAACAGGCCCAGGCCTACCAGACCGCCACCTACCAGCCGACCTACCAGGGCGGCTACCAGGTGCTGGGGGCCAAAATTTCGGGAGGGCCCCAAAACTCTGCGTCAACCTATACCCATAGCCGAGAGAGATGTCGGCATCGCACCTGCTTTTGAGCCCTTTGCAGCAGGTCCCGAGGATGTGAGCTGCAAAACCACACGCTGACCAGTCGGCTGGTGAGAAGCCTCCGACATAGTTTTGATAGTTTTAAGTTTTCCTGCGGCGATCCAGGTCCCAAGGCTGGCTTCGTCTTCCCTTCGCCTGTCCAAGACACTGTACACGCCCAGTAGGTCTCAATGTGCCATCCGCTATCACGAAAGCACGCGAGCTCCGAAAGTGTAGCCTCCGAGGCTTACAGGTATGCCTTTTGCACTGTTGACATTGGTTCCGGGGTCCCTTTTCCCTCGGAAGGAAGGTTCACTTGGGGGGGGCTGGGAGGGGGGGGGAGGTTTTGAAGAACACTTACATGTGCTGAGGGGTTGAGGATGCGGCTGGGGCGTAGTAATACGGGGCTCTTATGGTTTCGGAGTGGAGTTGGCTGAAGTGCCCGGTGTGATGCACGATTTGACGGGAGCGTCTGTGTTTGGACACGAGCCTTGCAAAACATAGCATATATGTATTCGCATGGGTATGAATCAGAAGGCTTGGATGCAAGGTCTGCTATTGTTTTCACATGCTGAGTTGTTTCTGGTACTTCAGAACTGCCTTCCGTCGTGCTGAGTTCCGACCCGCGTGAGGTGGCTAGCTGAGTTCAGTTCGCAAGCCATGATTCGCGGCATTTGCATCCTCCTCGCCCTCCGCGGCGGCGCAGCCGAACCCAACAGTGACGCGGTGCCAACTTGCGCCAAGAAGGGCGTGACCTACGTGAGCGATGTCAAGGGCACGCCCAATTCCGCGTGGCTCTACACCCCGAAGATGTGCCAGATGGCCTGCTACATTAACCCATCCTGCAAGCATTTCTCGTGGAAGGAGGACTCTTTCCCCGGCGGTGCCTGCAACCTTCTGGGAGAGGATGTGCAGGAGAAGGTCGATGAGAAGTCGTACAGTGGCCCAAAGGCCTGTGCGGGTGAGGTCCCGGTGAACGCGGCGTCGATGGCGGATGCCGCAAGCAATGTCGGCAACACGCTGAACCAATTTGGCAACGATCTTGCCCAGAAGGCAAACGAGGTCGGCAGCCAGTTCAGCAACCAGCTGAACCAGGCCGGACAGGAAATGGACAAGTTTGGAAAGGATTTGACCCAGCAGATGAATCAAGCCAGCAATGACCTGAGCCAGAAGGCCAATGAGTTCCACAACCAGGTCAACCAAGTCGGGCAGGATCTCGCCCAGCAGGCAAATCAGGCCATGGACGATCTGACCCAGAAGGCCAATCAGGCCCACACTGATCTGACCCAGCAGACTCAGGATTTGACCCAACAGGCGAATCAGGCCAGCAGCGGCCTGAGCCAGAAGGCCGATGAGCTCAACGATGTCGGCAAGGACCTGACACAGACGGCCCAGGATGCGATGGAGTCCGCGGGATTGCAGGCCAAGGAGGCCGCTGACCAGATGGGCGACAAGGCCAACGAGATCCTCGGCTCCGCTCCGGGAAGCTCGGGCGGCGGTGGCGACAACACCATGACCTACGGCGTGATCGGGGGCATCGCCGGGGCCCTTGCGTTGGCGGGCGGCGCCTACTACTTCATGTCCGGAGATGAGAAGAAGAAAAAGAAGTCCAAGCGTGCCGTCAGTGTGGACGCAGCGCCCATGATCGAGGAGGTGCCGGAGGTCCCTCAGGTCACCTCGCCACAGGCCTTCCCGCAGCAGTTCCAGAACCAGGCGTTTGGGGATTGGGAACAAAATATGAACCCTCGAATTCTACAAGGGTTTATATGGTCTACGGTCTATACACAGTAAAGATCGCAGTCGACTTATTAGGGGGGGGATCCCCGTTCGGTTCATGTGCTCCCCAGGTCCAGAACGTGATGGCCTACGCCAACCAGCAGATGCAGCAGGCTGCGCCACGGTATTATCACCAGGTGCCGCAACAGGCCCAGGCCTACCAGACCGCCACCTACCAGCCCACGACCTACCAGGGCGGCTACCAGGTGCTGGGGGCCAAAATTTCGGGAGGGCCCCAAAACTCGCATAAACTTGTTTTCAGGCTTCTGCGTCAGCCTTTTGCAGCAGTCTAGAGAGATGTCGGCATCGCACCTTCTTTTGAGCCCTTTGCAGCAGGTCCCGAGGATGTGAGCTGCAAAGCCACACGCTGGTCTGTCGGCTGGTGAAAAGCCTCCGACATAGTTTTGATTGTTTTAAGTTTTCCCGCGGCGATCCAGGTCCCAAGGCTGGCATCGTCTTCCCTTTCGCTTGTCCAAGACACTGAACACGCCCAGTAGGTCTCAATGTGCCATCCGCTATCACGAAAGCACGCGAGCTCCGAAAGTATAGCCTGCAAGGCTTACAGGTATACCTTTTACACTCTTGGCGTTGGTTCCCGGGCCCCCTTTCCCACGGAAGGAAGGTTCAGAGTATCCCGCGTCAGACCATCCAAGCTGTGCCCAACCCTCCAGGAAGTATTCATGAAGGCAACTGCGACAGAATCATGCGCGAAGTCCTCCGAACTGCTGTCCGAAGGGGGCAGGGTTGGGGGGGAGGAAGGGGAAGGTTGAAGAAAACTTAAATGTATCCCGGTGTTGTCGGGGGGTTGAGGATATCTGGCGGTCTGGCGGCTGGGGTGTGGTAGTAGGGGGTTCATAGGTTTTTGGATTGGAGTGTGCTTTGGCCGAAATATCCGGTGTGATGGACGATTTGACGGGAGCGACACTTCGTAGTAAAACCATTCTTCGCGAAGAGCTGTAGCTGTCAGCACGTGTTCGGACACGAGCCTTGCGAAAGCTACGAATTAGCATGGGTATGAATCGGTATGAATTAGAAGGCTTGGATGCAGGTAGTGTTGTGTTCACATGCTGAGTTGTTCGTGGTACTTCAGAGCTGGACTGCCTTCCGTCGTGCTCTGTTCAGACCTGCGTGAGGTGCCTAGCTGAGTTCAGTTCGCAAGCCATGATTCGCGGCGTTTGCGTCCTCCTCGCCCTCCATGGCGGTGCAGCCGAACCCAACGGTGACGCGGTGCCGACTTGCGCCAAGAAGGGCGTGACCTACGTGAGCGATGTCAAGGGCACCCCCAATTCCGCGTGGCTCTACACCCCGAAGATGTGCCAGATGGCCTGCTACATCAACCCAACCTGCAAGCATTTCTCGTGGAAGGAGGACTCTTTCCCCGGCGGTGCCTGCAACCTCTTGGGAGAGGATGTGCAGGAGAAGGTCGATGAGAAGTCGTACAGCGGCCCAAAGGCCTGTGCGGGTGAGGTCCCGGTGAACGCGGCGTCGATCACCGATGCTGTGGGCAGTGCCAGCGCCGGGCTGGAGAAGTTTGGCAAGGATCTTTTCGTGAAGGCAAACGAGGCCGGGAGCCAGCTCACCGACCACATCACTGACAAGCTGAATCAGGCCGGACAGGACATGGACAAGTTTGGAAAGGACTTGACCCAGAAGATGAATCAAGCCAGCAGTGACCTGAACCAGAAGGCAAACGAGTTCCACAACCAGGTCAGCCAAGTCGGACAGGATCTCACCCAGCAGGCAAATCAGGCCGCCAACGATCTGACCCAGATGGCCAATCAGGCCCACAGGGACCTGACCCAGAAGACACAGGAGTTGAACAGCGGCGCAACCGAGCTGCAGCAGAAGCTCGACCAGTTTGGAAAGGATTTGACCCAGCAGGCCAATCAAGCCAGCGCTGGCCTGAGCAGTGATCTGAGCCAGAAGGCCAAGGAGTTCCAGGGTCAGGTCAACCAGTTGCAGCAGGATGTGGGCCAGCAGGTAAATAAGCTTGCTGACGATATGGCCCAGCAGACCAATCAGGTCAACAGTGACCTGAGCCAGAAGGCACAGGAGCTTAACAGCCAGGCCAACCAGCTCGGGCAAGATCTGGCCCAGAAGGTCGATCAGGTTGGGGATGCTCTGACCCAGAAGGCCAATCAGGCCGGCAGCGACCTGAGCCAGAAGGCCGACGAGCTCAACGGCCAGGTCAATCAGCAGGCCAGCCAGGTCGGCAGCTCCCTGGAAAAGCTCGGGCAGGATCTGACCAATCAGGCCAATCAGGTTGGGGATGCTCTGACCCAGAAGATCAATCAAGCCAACAGTGACCTGAGCCAGAAGGCCAATGAGATCCAGGGCCAGGTCAACCAAGTCGGCCAGGATCTCACCCAGCAGGCAAATCAGGCGGCCAACGAACTGGCCCAGAAGGCCAATCAGGTCAACAGCGACCTGGCCCAGAAGACAAAGGAGTTCAACAGCGGCGCCACCGATTTGCAACAGCAACTCAATGAAGCCAGCGCTGGCCTGAGCAGTGATCTGAGCCAGAAGGCAAAGGAGTTGCAAGGCCAAGTCGGCCAGTTGCAGCAAAAAGTGGACACGGGTGCAAATCAGATTCTGAACGATGTGGCCAAGCAGACCAATGAGGTCAACGGTGCCCTGAGCCAGAAGGCAAAGGAGTTCAGCAGCCAGGCCGACCAGCTCAAACAGGATCTGACCCAACAGGCTGATCAGGTTGGGGATACCCTGACCCAGAAGGCTAATCAGGTCAGCAGCGACCTGAGCCAGCAGGTCAACGAGGCATCCGAAAGCCTGGGAGCGGCGCCAGCGGCCCTGGGCGCCTCGCTGGGCGCCTCGCTGGGCGCCTCGGTGGACCAGGCCGGCAGCGACCTGACACAGACGGCCAACGATGCGATGCAGACGGCCAACGATGCGATGGAGTCCGCGGGGTTGCAGGCCAAGGAGGCCGCCGACCAGATGGGCGAGAAGGCCAACGAGATCCTCGGCTCCGCTCCGGGCAGCTCGGGCGGCGGCGGTGGCGACAACACCATGACCTACGGCGTGATCGGGGGCATCGCCGGTGCCCTTGCGTTGGCGGGCGGCGCCTACTACTTCATGTCCGGAGATGAGAAGAAGAAGAAGAAGAAGTCCAAGCGCGCCGTCGCTGTGGACGCAGCGCCCATGATCGAGGAGGCGCCGGAGGTCCCTCAGGTCACCGCGCCACAGGCCTTCCCGCAGCAGTTCCAGAACCAGGCGTTTGGGGACTGAGAACAAAATATGAACCCTCAAATTCTACAAGGGTTTATGTGGTCTACGGTCTATACACAGTAACGATTGCAGTCGTCGTGTTAGGGGGGGGATCCCCGTTCGGTTCATGTGCTCCCCAGGTCCAGAACGTGATGGCCTACGCCAACCAGCAGATGCAGCAGGCTGCGCCACGGTACTATCACCAGGTGCCGCAACAGGCCCAAGCCTACCAGACCGCCACCTACCAGCCCACGACCTACCAGGGCGGCTACCAGGTGCTGGGGGCCAAAATTTCGGGAGGGCCCCAAAACTCGCATAAACTTTTTTCAGGCTTCTGCGTCAGCCTTTTGCCGTAGTCTAGAGAGATGTCGGCATCGCACCTTCTTTGGAGCCCTTTGCAGCAGGTCCCGAGGATGTGAGCTGCAAAGCCACACGCTGGTCTGTCGGCTGGTGAAAAGCCTCCGACATAGTTTTGATTGTTTTAAGTTTTCCCGCGGCGATCCAGGTCCCAAGGCTGGCATCGTCTTCCCTTTCGCCTGTCCAAGACACTGAACACGCCCAGTAGGTCAAAAGGTGCCATCTGCTGTCAGTAAAGCACGCGAGCTCCGAAAGTGTAGCCTGCAAGGCTTACAGGTATACCTTTTACACTCTTGGCGTTGGTTCCCGGGCCCCCTTTCCCACGGAAGGAAGGTTCAGAGTATCCCGCGTCAGACCATCCAAGCTGTGCCCAACCCTCCAGGAAGTATTCATGAAGGCAACTGCGACAGAATCATGCGCGAAGTCCTCCGAACTGCTGTCCGAAGGGGGCAGGGTTGGGGGGGAGGAAGGGGAAGGTTGAAGAAAACTTAAATGTATCCCGGTGTTGTCGAGGGGTTGAGGATATCTGGCGGTCTGGCGGCTGGGGTGTGGTAGTGGGGGGTTCATAGGTTTTTGGATTGGAGTGTGCTTTGGCCGAAATATCCGGTGTGATGGACGATTTGACGGGAGCGACACTTCATAGTAAAACCATTCTTCGCGAAGAGCTGTAGCTGTCAACACGTGTTCGGACACGAGCCTTGCGAAACCTACGAATCAGCATGGGTATGAATCGGTATGAATTTGAAGGCTTGGATGCAGGTAGTGTTGTGTTCACACGCTGAGTTGTTCGTGGTACTTCAGAGCTGGACTGCCTTCCGTCGTGCTCTGTTCAGACCTGCGTGAGGTGCCTAGCTGAGTTCAGTTCGCAAGCCATGATTCGCGGCGTTTGCGTCCTCCTCGCCCTCCATGGCGGGGGTGCAGCCGAACCCAACGGTGACGCGGTGCCGACTTGCGCCAAGAAGGGCGTGACCTACGTGAGCGATGTCAAGGGCACCCCCAATTCCGCGTGGCTCTACACCCCGAAGATGTGCCAGATGGCCTGCTACATCAACCCAACCTGCAAGCATTTCTCGTGGAAGGAGGACTCTTTCCCCGGCGGTGCCTGCAACCTCCTGGGAGAGGATGTGCAGGAGAAGGTCGATGAGAAGTCGTACAGCGGCCCAAAGGCCTGTGCGGGTGAGGTCCCGGTGAATGCGGCGTCGATCACCGATGCTGTGGGCAGTGCCAGCGCCGGGCTGGAGAAGTTTGGCAAGGATCTTTTCGTGAAGGCAAACGAGGCCGGGAGCCAGCTCACCGACCACATCACTGACAAGCTGAATCAGGCCGGACAGGACATGGACAAGTTTGGAAAGGACTTGACCCAGAAGATGAATCAAGCCAGCAGTGACCTGAACCAGAAGGCAAATGAGTTCCACAACCAGGTCAGCCAAGTCGGACAGGATCTCACCCAGCAGGCAAATCAGGCCGCCAACGATCTGACCCAGATGGCCAATCAGGCCCACAGTGACCTGACCCAGAAGACACAGGAGTTGAACAGCGGCGCAACCGAGCTGCAGCAGAAGCTCGACCAGTTTGGAAAGGATTTGACCCAGCAGGCCAATCAAGCCAGCGCTGGCCTGAGCAGTGATCTGAGCCAGAAGGCCAAGGAGTTCCAGGGTCAGGTCAACCAGTTGCAGCAGGATGTGGGCCAGCAGGTAAATAAGCTTGCTGACGATATGGCCCAGCAGACCAATCAGGTCAACAGTGACCCAGAAGGCACAGGAGCTTAACAGCCAGGCCAACCAGCTCGGGCAAGATCTGGCCCAGAAGGTCGATCAGGTTGGGGACGCTCTGACCCAGAAGGCCAATCAGGCCGGCAGCGACCTGAGCCAGAAGGCCGACGAGCTCAACGGCCAGGTCAATCAGCAGGCCAGCCAGGTCGGCAGCTCCCTGGAAAAGCTCGGGCAGGATCTGACCAATCAGGCCAATCAGGTTGGGGATGCTCTGACCCAGAAGATCAATCAAGCCAACAGTGACCTGAGCCAGAAGGCCAATGAGATCCAGGGCCAGGTCAACCAAGTCGGCCAGGATCTCACCCAGCAGGCAAATCAGGCGGCCAACGAACTGGCCCAGAAGGCCAATCAGGTCAACAGCGACCTGGCCCAGAAGACAAAGGAGTTCAACAGCGGCGCCACCGATTTGCAACAGCAACTCAATGAAGCCAGCGCTGGCCTGAGCAGTGATCTGAGCCAGAAGGCAAAGGAGTTGCAAGGCCAAGTCGGCCAGTTGCAGCAAAAAGTGGACACGGGTGCAAATCAGATTCTGAACGATGTGGCCAAGCAGACCAATGAGGTCAACGGTGCCCTGAGCCAGAAGGCAAAGGAGTTCAGCAGCCAGGCCGACCAGCTCAAACAGGATCTGACCCAACAGGCTGATCAGGTTGGGGACACCCTGACCCAGAAGGCCAATCAGGTCAGCAGCGACCTGAGCCAGCAGGTCAATGCGGCATCCGAAAGCCTGGGAGCGGCGCCAGCCACCCTGGGCGCCTCGCTGGGCGCCTCGCTGGGCGCCTCGCTGGACCAGGCCGGCAGCGACCTGACACAGACGGCCAACGATGCGATGCAGACGGCCAACGATGCGATGGAGTCCGCGGGATTGCAGGCCAAGGAGGCCGCCGACCAGATGGGCGAGAAGGCCAACGAGATCCTCGGCTCCGCTCCGGGCAGCTCGGGCGGCGGCGGTGGCGACAACACCATGACCTACGGCGTGATCGGGGGCATCGCCGGTGCCCTTGCGTTGGCGGGCGGCGCCTACTACTTCATGTCCGGAGATGAGAAGAAGAAGAAGAAGTCCAAGCGCGCCGTCGCTGTGGACGCAGCCCCCATGATCGAGGAGGCGCCGGAGGTCCCTCAGGTCACGGCGCCACAGGCCTTCCCGCAGCAGTTCCAGAACCAGGCGTTTGGGGACTGAGAACAAAATATGAACCCTCAAATTCTACAAGGGTTTATATGGTCTACGGTCTATACACAGTAAAGATTGCAGTCGACTTATTAGGGGGGGGGATCCCCGTTCGGTTCATGTGCTCCCCAGGTCCAGAACGTGATGGCCTACGCCAACCAGCAGATGCAGCAGGCTGCGCCACGGTATTATCACCAGGTGCCGCAACAGGCCCAGGCCTACCAGACCGCCACCTACCAGCCCACGACCTACCAGGGCGGCTACCAGGTGCTGGGGGCCAAAATTTCGGGAGGGCCGCAAAACTCGCATAAACTTTTTTCAGGCTTCTGCGTCAGACTTTTGCAGCAGTCTAGAGAGATGTCGGCATCGCACCTTCTTTTGAGCCCTTTGAAGCAGGTCCCGAGGGTGTGAGCTGCAAAGCCACACGCTGGTCTGTCGGCTGGTGAAAAGCCTCCGACATAGTTTTGATTGTTTTAAGTTTTCCCGCGGCGATCCAGGTCCCAAGGCTGGCATCGTCTTCCCTTTCGCTTGTCCAAGACACTGAACACGCCCCATGGGTTTCAACGCGCCATCTGCTATCACGAAAGCACGCGAGCTCCGAAGGTGTAGCCTGCAAGGCTTACAGGTATGCCTTTTTCACGATTGACCCACTGAAGGAAGGCTCACAGTATCCCTCATCTGCCCACCCCAGACCATCCCGCAGAGTCCCAGACAATCCTTGAAACCAAGTGCGACGGAATCCTGCGAAGATCCTCCTAATTGCCCGTCGGAAGGGGGCAGAGTTGGGGCGGTTTGGGGGGGTGGGGGGAGGAGGTTTGAAGAAAACTTACATGCATAGTGTTGTGTTCACATGCTGAGTTGTTCGTGGTACTTCAGAGCTGGACTGCCTTCCGTCGTGCTCTGTTCAGACCTGCGTGAGGTGGCTAGCTGAGTTCAGTTCGCAAGCCATGATTCGCGGCGTTTGCGTCCTCCTCGCCCTCCATGGCGGTGCAGCCGAACCCAACGGTGACGCGGTGCCGACTTGCGCCAAGAAGGGAGTGACCTACGTGAGCGATGTCAAGGGCACTCCCAATTCCGCGTGGCTCTACACCCCGAAGATGTGCCAGATGGCCTGCTACATCAACCCAACCTGCAAGCATTTCTCGTGGAAGGAGGACTCTTTCCCCGGCGGTGCCTGCAACCTCTTGGGAGAGGATGTGCAGGAGAAGGTCGATGAGAAGTCGTACAGCGGCCCAAAGGCCTGTGCGGGTGAGGTCCCGGTGAACGCGGCGTCGATCACCGATGCTGTGGGCAGTGCCAGCGCCGGGCTGGAGAAGTTTGGCAAGGATCTTTTCGTGAAGGCAAACGAGGCCGGGAGCCAGCTCACCGACCACATCACTGACAAGCTGAATCAGGCCGGACAGGACATGGACAAGTTTGGAAAGGACTTGACCCAGAAGATGAATCAAGCCAGCAGTGACCTGAACCAGAAGGCAAATGAGTTCCACAACCAGGTCAGCCAAGTCGGACAGGATCTCACCCAGCAGGCAAATCAGGCCGCCAACGATCTGACCCAGATGGCCAATCAGGCCCACAGTGACCTGACCCAGAAGACACAGGAGTTGAACAGCGGCGCAACCGAGCTGCAGCAGAAGCTCGACCAGTTTGGAAAGGATTTGACCCAGCAGGCCAATCAAGCCAGCGCTGGCCTGAGCAGTGATCTGAGCCAGAAGGCCAAGGAGTTCCAGGGCCAGGTCAACCAGTTGCAGCAGGATGTGGGCCAGCAGGTAAATAAGCTTGCTGACGATATGGCCCAGCAGACCAATCAGGTCAACAGTGACCTGAGCCAGAAGGCACAGGAGCTTAACAGCCAGGCCAACCAGCTCGGGCAAGATCTGGCCCAGAAGGTCGATCAGGTTGGGGACGCTCTGACCCAGAAGGCCAATCAGGCCGGCAGCGACCTGAGCCAGAAGGCCGACGAGCTCAACGGCCAGGTCAATCAGCAGGCCAGCCAGGTCGGCAGCTCCCTGGAAAAGCTCGGGCAGGATCTGACCAATCAGGCCAATCAGGTTGGGGATGCTCTGACCCAGAAGATCAATCAAGCCAACAGTGACCTGAGCCAGAAGGCCAATGAGATCCAGGGCCAGGTCAACCAAGTCGGCCAGGATCTCACCCAGCAGGCAAATCAGGCGGCCAACGAACTGGCCCAGAAGGCCAATCAGGTCAACAGCGACCTGGCCCAGAAGACAAAGGAGTTCAACAGCGGCGCCACCGATTTGCAACAGCAACTCAATGAAGCCAGCGCTGGCCTGAGCAGTGATCTGAGCCAGAAGGCAAAGGAGTTGCAAGGCCAAGTCGGCCAGTTGCAGCAAAAAGTGGACACGGGTGCAAATCAGATTCTGAACGATGTGGCCAAGCAGACCAATGAGGTCAACGGTGCCCTGAGCCAGAAGGCAAAGGAGTTCAGCAGCCAGGCCGACCAGCTCAAACAGGATCTGACCCAACAGGCTGATCAGGTTGGGGACACCCTGACCCAGAAGGCCAATCAGGTCAGCAGCGACCTGAGCCAGCAGGTCAATGCGGCATCCGAAAGCCTGGGAGCGGCGCCAGCGGCCCTGGGCGCCTCGCTGGGCGCCTCGCTGGGCGCCTCGCTGGACCAGGCCGGCAGCGACCTGACACAGACGGCCAACGATGCGATGCAGACGGCCAACGATGCGATGGAGTCCGCGGGATTGCAGGCCAAGGAGGCCGCCGACCAGATGGGCGAGAAGGCCAACGAGATCCTCGGCTCCGCTCCGGGCAGCTCGGGCGGCGGCGGTGGCGACAACACCATGACCTACGGCGTGATCGGGGGCATCGCCGGTGCCCTTGCGTTGGCGGGCGGCGCCTACTACTTCATGTCCGGAGATGAGAAGAAGAAGAAGAAGTCCAAGCGCGCCGTCGCTGTGGACGCAGCCCCCATGATCGAGGAGGCGCCGGAGGTCCCTCAGGTCACCGCGCCACAGGCCTTCCCGCAGCAGTTCCAGAACCAGGCGTTTGGGGACTGAGAACAAAATATGAACCCTCAAATTCTACAAGGGTTTATATGGTCTACGGTCTATACACAGTAAAGATTGCAGTCGACTTATTAGGGGGGGGGATCCCCGTTCGGTTCATGTGCTCCCCAGGTCCAGAACGTGATGGCCTACGCCAACCAGCAGATGCAGCAGGCTGCGCCACGGTATTATCACCAGGTGCCGCAACAGGCCCAGGCCTACCAGACCGCCACCTACCAGCCCACGACCTACCAGGGCGGCTACCAGGTGCTGGGGGCCAAAATTTCGGGAGGGCCGCAAAACTCGCATAAACTTTTTTCAGGCTTCTGCGTCAGACTTTTGCAGCAGTCTAGAGAGATGTCGGCATCGCACCTTCTTTTGAGCCCTTTGAAGCAGGTCCCGAGGGTGTGAGCTGCAAAGCCACACGCTGGTCAGTCGGCTGGTGAAAAGCCTCCGACATAGTTTCGATAGTTTTAAGTTTTCCCGCGGCGATCCAGGTCCCAAGGCTGGCATCGTCTTCCCTTTCGCCTGTCCAAGACACTGAACACGCCCAGTCAAAAGGTGCCATCTGCCCTTCAGCACGCTCCGAAAGGATGGCCTGCAACACCCCCTAAAATCCCTGAAGCCTTCAGAAGTAGGAGCAACGTGAGGTAGGGATTCTGATTCCTTTCAAACCTTCCACTGAGGTTCACCTTATGACATCAACGACACTTTGTAGCTCACCAGCCATTGAACATGAAGTGCTTGCCTGATGTCGATGTTGGGTGTATACTGTCCGTTATTCTGCTTGCAGGAGATCAGGTGGTTGCGAAGGCCCGAGGGGATCCTGGGATGTGACGCTTTCTGTTCTGACAAGCCTGCTTGTTGAGCCGCGGGATGTGAGTCCACCGTAGTCTTGGGACTTGGTCCTGTGCGTGGTCATCGTGACCAAGGCGATATATTCTGTAGTGGAGACGTGGACCCCAGATCCACGTGCGCTAGCTGTGAAAGTCGAAACCTCTCACTGCAAGAAAGCACAACAAGAGATATAGGGGTACCCTTTTGGGGGGGGGGTCCCTTTAAGAGATTCTGTTCTATTTGGGGAAAAAAAGGGGGACCTCCCCTGTTTTGGGAAATGCCCACATACTCGGAGGCTGGACATGGAGAAGCTGGGACCTGGGACAGCTCGAGCCTCGGCCTTGCGCTTCGCTTGAACTGCAAAGCCCAGTTTTTTTTGGACGTAGTTCGCGCGTGGGTTCGTCGGCCTGACAAGGTGGAGGAGCTGGGGTTTTGTGGTGGTTGAAACAGCATCACTTTTTGGATTGGACGGTGCTTTGTTGGGATGTTCCCCCGTATACGAACAGTCCTTAAATAGGGATTAGAATAGGGGGGTACTAGAGTGGAGTGGAGTGGAGTGGAAGGTGACCAGGACAGAGTCCGGCCAGCAAAAAGCGGTATCACCTCCGGCCCGAAGGCTTAAGGATCAAACCGCAAAAAAACCGAAAAGAGAGAGAGAGAGAGAGGGGCATTTTATGAAACATTATGAAACAAAAATGAGGTGCGCGGCGCCAAAGGTAGAAGAACCCGCAGAGGATGGCTCTGCAATGGAGTGGGGCGGCGCCAAAGGTAGAGGGACCCGCAGAGGATGGCTCTGCAATGGAGGCCGCGTCGGCAAAAAACAAGAAACATAAAACAACTGCAGAGGATGGCTCTGCAATGGAGGGCGCAGCGCCAAAGGTAGCAAGAATCGCAGAGGATTGCTCTGCAATGGAGGCCGAAGGTACCCCCGCCCAAAAACAAGAAGCCCAGGAGCAGCCAAAGACCACGGACCGCGAGCACCGGCGCACCAGGCCCAAGCCCCAAGCCCAACCCCTCAAATCCTTCTTAGATCCCCTCCGACACACTCTGTAAACCCGAAGCCATCTTCTGATTTCAGGCGCGTGTCTTTCGATCCCACCCCAGAGATCGTTGAGATTGAGGACGCCCTGTGCTTTTCTTCACGGCTTGGTTGAGTGTGGAGAGTTTGCTAATGCGGCGTCTCGGCTCCGCTGACTGGGGGGATATGCCTTTTGGTCCCCTAATTCTCTCCCTCAGTCTCGCAGAGACCGCTCATGATGTGCCATGTGAATAGTGTGCCGGTCTCTTCCGCTTCCTACGGATAAGCTAGGACTGCAGCCCCCGGATGCCGGCCTGAATTATCGCACTTTCATCCGAAGCGAAGAACTGCCACGCACACTACATGCCTCCCTTAAACTCCTTGCGGGTTGCACAAGGCGCATGTGTGTACCATGGTTGTGACAAGCCACTGCTATTGATTTCTTTGCCCTTCTGCTTAGACTACTTGTGACTTTGGTCTCTACATTTGCTGTTCCTTGCCATTTGGAGTATGAGACTTCATTCACTCTTGCATCAGTACAAGACCATCATTCGCTATTCTGATTCGCTCTTTTGGTTGCGAATGAGACAGGATCTGTGTGACATGCATGTCGGTGTATGCGCCGATCGTGATTTTGAATTTGTAAAAACCAGAACGAGCCCTCACAACATTACCATACACTGATACAGCTGTTCCAAGCTATTGCCGCAAGGAGCCTCCGCAAGCCCGTGTCCGTATCCCCAGAACGTGCAAGCCCATAAAGAATCAGAACTTGCCATCCTTTGAAGGGGCCTTCTACCGGGAGGTTTTCAGGTCTACCTTGCAAGCATGCTTTCACCGGAGGGGCCTTCTTGGATGATTTCGCCCCCCAGACCTCAAGAATGCCGACTTGCCGTTCAGCTTTGCATGAACCTTCAAGCCTTCAAGCAGGCTCACCGAACTCAAAACCTAAGCCTATCGCAGTGGAAAACCGAAAGCCTGCGCCCCAACAGATCTCTTCAACGATTGGTTGCGCCTTCCCCACCGGCAGTGCTGAAACTGTGCCAGGCCGGGGATTAGGGTTTGGGGTCGGGGGTTTTGGGTTTGGGGGGGTCAGGGATTGGTGGGGGTGTCCTTAAACTCTTTGGGGTGCAAGCTCCCGTCAGCGGTGTCTTCTGTTGCCATGTGCGACTATATGACGCCAGAGCAAGGCTTGGGATACTTAAACTGTAGAGGGGTTGACAAGCAGCGTTTTGGAGCAAAGTTCTCGTATCACCTTTTTTCTCTGCGCCTGCGCAGCAAACATGTGGCGGCTGTGGGCGATAGTTGCCGCCGTGTCTGCGGCTGGGGCAGACCACCGGTCTGTGACGGGCCAGAATGGCATGGTTGCCACGTCACATCCCGAGGCCAGCGCCGCCGCGGCGCGCATCCTGGAAAGGGGAGGCAATGCCGTAGATGCAGCCCTTGCAGTGCACTTTGTGCTTGCGGTAGTGGAACCCCAGCACGTGTCCATCGGTGGTGGCGGCGTCATGCTCTACAAGCCACTGGATGGGGAGGCTGTCCATGTGGACTTCAGGGAAGAAGCACCAGCCTTGTACCACCCAAAAACCTTTTGCAGAAATGCCGCTTGCATTCGGGACCCAAACTGTGAGTGCAAAGGCACTTGGCCAAGCAACGAGCGTTGCACAGGAGGCCACGCCACTGGCACACCGGGGTTCCCGGCACTGGTGGCGCTTGCAGTGCGCGATCGGCTCACATCACTGCCGCTCTCAGAGCTCGCGGCCCCAGCGATAGAATTGGCCCGAAATGGCTGGAGTATGGACGATGGACTCTACAAGAGCATCCAGCAATATGCCCCGCAGTTGGCTCGAGACCCTGCCTCTCGAGAACTCTTCTTAGATGCTAGTGGCACCAAGCCCAGGGCCGAGCCCGGTGAGCTGTTGAGGAATCCGCAGCTCGCAGACACCTTGGAGTTGCTGGTAGCTGCGCCAGACGGCTTCTACACAGGGCAGCTGGGCACGGAGTTCGTGAAGGCAGCGCAGGGCGGCCTGAATAATGTGACGGGCAAGTATGGCCTGCTGTCTGCGGAGGACTTGCACAGCTATCGCGCTGTGTATCGTGAGCCGGTGAAGTATGAGTACACTACCGCTTCGGGTCACACATACCTCATCACAGGTTCAGCACCACCCTTTAGCGGCGGAGTGGCGCACGCTCAGATCTTCAACTTTCTTGAGCAGGTGGAAGGGGCAGAAGCCACGAGTGCTCGCGACCTGGGCTTCTTCATGGATGCGCAGAACGTCGCGTTTGCCGACCGCAACCAGTACGTGGCCGACCCCGACTTTGTGGACGTCGACGTGAAGACCCTGACGTCGAAGAGCTATGCGGCCCAGCGCGTGAAGGAGCTCCTCGGCACTGCTGGTAGCAAGCAGTCGCTCCACAGCAACGAGGTGAGAGCGTTAACTGTGCCCGTGACGCCAGGCGCGCTGAGCTCCGAACGCGGTACGTCTTCTGCCGAGGACTACGGCACCTCCCACATGACCATCATCGACTCCAAGGGTAACATTGTGGCCATGACCACGACGGTGAACATGATCATGGGCTCGCGAGTCACCGTGCCGGGGCGAGGCTATCTGCTGAACGACGAGCTGTGCGACTTCGACTCCCTTGGCTTTGATTCTGCAGGGCAGATGACAGTCAATGCAGCCGAGGGGGGCAAGCGCCCACGGCGCACAGCTCTTGGCTCTGACAGCAGTTCCTTGGGTGGCAAAAGGCCTCGGTCCTCAATGAGTCCGACCCTGGTGGTGCCCAAAGATCCAGGCCACGCCGCCTTTGCCGTGCTTGGCTTAGGGGCACCTGGGGGCTCCGACATCATTGGTGGAACAGCCAACGTCCTCAGATATACTTTGACTGCACCCACTGCGGATGATGTCCGAGAGCTGCAGAAGCACACGGACACACCGCGTGCCATCGGCAAGAATGAGCCGCGGATGGGCAACGCAGTTGTGGAGCTCGCGCTCTTCGAGGACAAGGAGAAGGTCGCATCCCTGCAGTCTTGGGGCTACAACCTGACGCATACGCCGTACTCGCCACCCTACTACGTGGGAGAGACGTACTCTCGGGTACAGTCAGCGATGATGTGGCGTGCTGACTCCACTTCCCCTTGGGAGTTTGTGGGAGCGGCCGACACCATGCGCTTGCCCACTTGTACGGCCCAGGCTCCGCGAAGCCTCCGTGGCGGCGCAGCCGAAAGCAACAGCGACGCGGTGCCGACTTGCGCCAAGAAGGGCATAACCTACCTGAGCGATGTCAAGGGCACGCCCAATTCGGCATGGCTCCACTCCCCGAAGATGTGTCAGATGGCCTGCTACATTAACCCAACCTGCAAGCATTTCTCGTGGAAGGAGGACTCTTTCCCTGGCGGTGCCTGCAACCTTTTGGGAGAGGATGTGCAGGAGAAGGTCGATGAGAAGTCGTACAGCGGCCCAAAGGCCTGTGCGAGTGAGGTCCCGGTGAGCGCAGCGTCGCTGGCCAATGCTGGCGATGACCTTGCCCAGAAGGCAAACGAGGTCGGCAGCCAGTTCAGCAACCAGCTGAATCAGGCTAGTCAGGATCTGGACAAGTTTGGAAAGGATTTGACCCAGAAGGCCAATCAAGCCACCAGTGACTTGAGCCAGAAGGCAAATGAGTTCCACAACCAGGTCAACCAAGTCGGGCAGGATCTCGCCCAGCAGGCAAATCAGGCCGCCAACGATCTGACCCAGATGGCCAATCAGGCCCAAAGTGACCTGACCCAGAAGACGCAGGAGTTCAACAGCGGCGCAACCGAGTTGCAGCAGAAGCTCGACCAGTTTGGAAAGGACTTGACCCAGCAGGCCAATCAAGCCAGCACTGGCCTGAGCAATGATCTGAGCCAGAAGGCCAAGGAGTTCCAGAGCGATGTGAACAAGCTCCGGCAGGAAGTGGGCCAGCAGAAAAATCAGGTTGCAGCGGATCTGACCCAGAAGACCAATGAGGTCAGTGGAGACCTCAACCAGATGTCAAAGGAGTTCAACAGCCAGGCCAACCAGCTCGGGCAGGATTTGACCCAACAGGCGAATAAGGTTGGCGACGTTCTGACCCAGAAGGCCAACCAGGCCAGCAGCGACCTGAGCCAGAAGGCGGATGAGCTCAACGATGTCGGCAAGGACCTGACACAGACGGCCCAGGATGCGATGGAGTCCGCGGGATTGCAGGCCAAGGAGGCCGCCGACCAGATGGGCGAGAAGGCCAACGAGATCCTCGGCTCCGCTCCGGGAAGCTCGGGCGGCGGTGGCGACAACACCATGACCTACGGCGTGATCGGGGGCATCGCCGGGGCCCTTGCTTTGGCGGGCGGCGCCTACTACTTCATGTCCGGAGATGAGAAGAAGAAAAAGAAGTCCAAGCGTGCCGTCTCTGTGGACGCAGCGCCCATGATGGAGGAGGCGCCGGAGGTCCCTCAGGTCACCGCGCCGCAGGCCTTCCCGCAGCAGTTCCAGAACCAGGTCCAAAACATGATGGCCTACGCCGGCCAGCAGATGCAGCAGAGGGTCCCTGTCCCACAATACTATCAGCAGGTCCCACAGCGAACGCAGGCGCCCCAGCCCTACCCCGCTGCTGCTTACCCGGCCGGCACCTACCAGCTCGCGACGTACCAGGGCGGCTACCAGGTGCCGGGGCAAGGTTCCGAAGCGTCGTAGAATCTCACCAAAAACACCGGGGCAGATCCTTTATAAACTTCCTTCAAGCTTCTGGAAGACCTTGTTTTGAAATCAGGTCCCACGGGCTTGAGCTGCAACACCTGGAGAACACTCAAGGGCCTGAGCATGAACTGTATCTTCCTCTCTGAGGCGATCCCGAACCCAAGGTTGAGTCCATCAGCCTTCCCGGCGCCACAGACATGGTACACGCTCAAAGGCCAAAAAAGGTGCCCGAAGGGTCCGATCGAGGAAGCTAGGGGCATGATAAGTTCAACGATAAGCCTGTTGAGAAGTATTTGGTATCGTTAGCAGGAAACGGAAGAATGCTGTCAAGTGCTCATCGTCATCCGGGGCGCAGCCGAACCCAACTGAAGAATGGCGTAACCAACGTGAGCGATGCACCTCAATTCTTCAGCATGGCTCCACACCCTGAAGATGTGTCAGATGGCCTTTTACTACTGTAACCCGTCCTGCCAGCATTTCTCGCGGAAGGAGGACTCTTTCCCCGAAGGTCTGCAACCTTTGCTGTGCCACTCGAACCCCTATAAACCAGATATTCAGATTGGATTTGCGTGTGTTCGTGCAGGCTGTGTTGCCAAGAAAATTTCGTGGACAGAGGATACCTGCCGAACCCCGAACCCGAACCTCTTTGTCGTGGACAGAGGGCCAGAGGGCACCTGCCGAACTGTGCAGCTTTTCGGGGGAGCGAGTTTGTGCAAACTTTGAGTATCACTCAAGTCGGGGTTAGGGTGTCTGAGCACCAGCCCCAACAGCTGATGCAGCTTGTTCTCTTACAAAATTGCCCCCCGGAGAGCAGAATAGGCACATGCCTAACCAGAACCGCCCCAAAACCCGAAACAACCGCTAGCTGCTAAGCCCTTACACTTTAAGTCTGCTGAGAAGAAGCCAGATACGACCCTCTAAGCTCTAAACCCTAAACCCAGATAAGACCCCCCTAAACTCTCAACCAGCAGGAGCTTTGCAGACCATCCGAGCAGATGTTGCCGGCCGTGCCCACCGCCGTCTCGAAGCTGCGGGCCGGCTTTGGGAATGAATAAAGGGGGTTTAGGGTTTGGGGTTTTGGTTTAGGGTTTAGGGTTTATGGCTTAGGCTTTAGGGTTTAGGGTTCAGGGTTCAGGGTTTAGGGCTTCAGGGTTTAGGGTTTCGGGTTTGGGGTTTAGGGGTTTAGGGGTTTAGGGTTTAGGGTGGGGAGGGGCGTGGTAGGGATTCGGGTTTGGGGTTCTCATGTTCCCTCATGATATTGCCACAGAAAGGCGCAAATTCCTTTGAAGGGTCCTTACGGAACCTGCTTGCTCCGGAGGGGAAGGGTCCATGGACGGGCAAGGGTGGCACGTATGCATCCCCACGCTTCCGAGCCTCCCGAGCGTTTCCCGCCGGCCCTTCCCTTTGTGTCACGCAAACCTCAATGAAGTTTTTGGCCCTCAGCCCACAATCCGCGCCGCAAATTGGGATTTAGTTCTTGGCTCCCACTTACACCAGCCACTGTTGATGAACCAAATTGTCTCATGATCTCACATTTGGTGGCAGCCTATGGAACAGAGCGCTTCAATTGGCACACCGCACCGGTCAAACATAAGTGCAGCAAGGGGAACAGTAGGGTCATGAAGCGGCTGCCTGGCCCACCAGGCCTACCTTTGGGATTCAGGGAAGGAGTCGTTGCGGCTGGGTCTTCGTCATGTCCGGATGCAGCATCCATGCTCGGTCTTCGCGATGAGCACCTCTCGTGAGTTCTATGTCATGCGTTGTGCAGCCTTCCGCCATTTAGCTTTCGAAGTCTTTGAGGCCTTTTCGCATATGCACTCGCTGATATCGCTACGGCTGACTGAAGAACTTTGCTTGAGTTTGCCATGTGTTGCTCAATAGTCAACAGTTCCAGGAACACTTGTGTGTGAACTCAGTGTGTTGGCATGCCTGTCTGGTGGCTGTGCCCGGCAGGTCCCTCCAAGCCTGGATGCAAGAAGGGGCTTCTTTTGGGTCTAAGCTTTTGGGCTGATGAGCCTCATGGGGTGATCCAGCCGGCCAACGTCCAATACTCCAACAGTACGGCCCGTCAGAAGGTACGTTGGGTTTGACTTAAACTGGGTTTATTTGGGCAAGAGAAGATGAAACAAAACTCCCCGCCGGCTCCAAAAAAACAAGTCAACATAAACAGGACAAAAAAGCCCTAAAAACCCTACACCCCACACCCTACACCCTAACCCCTCAACCCTAAAAGAAAAACCTTACACCCCAAACTCTACTAAGAAACTCCTTCCGCAAGGCGCCCCCGGAGGCGACGGTGGCAGGTGTCGTGGCAGCGCTCCCAGCTCCCTTCCAGACTTCCCAGCTGCCTTCTGGGGGGCAGGGGGGGAGCATAGGAGCATAGGGCAGTTTAGGGTTTGGGGTTTGGGGTTTAGGGACAGAGCATAGGGGTTCTGGGAGGTTCTGGGGCTTAAGGAAGGTTATGGGGTATGGCTTCCCGGGCCGATTCGGGAGTATGACTTTCCCCGGCCGACTTCTCAAGCCGGGATGCAAAAAAAAGGGGAGGAGGGTTGGGGCTTCGGGGGGTTGCGATTTTTTTAAAGGTTTTTTGTCTTTTTGGGGTATCTGTTGTCTTTCAAGTTAAGGCTTTGTGACTTCTTTTGTTGCAAAGATCTTAGCCTAAACTTAAACTCAAAACCACCTTTCAGTGTTGAGCCACAGTCTGTGCCAGTCGAGGCGTGCTGAGGCCTAGACCCAATCATTCCCTGTTGGTCTTGGTTAGAATACGCTGCTCTCGTAGGGCTGCAGTGTGGAGCCGTCTGTTCTTCGTGCGGTGGGTTTAGGGTTTAGGGTTTAGGGTTGACAATTTATAATTTATAGGGTTTAGGGTTTAAAGTTTGGGGTTTAGAGTTTAGGGTTGGTTTCTTGTTTTTGGGAGCTGCAAACCCTTGCCGGTTTTTCGGCTCGAGGCGCCATTAGCTGAGATTCCTTCACAGCCCTCCCTGTTTGTGCCCGGAAAGCAAACAGGATGAAGTTCTTCAAGGCTGGCGCAAGAAAAATAGTTAAGGCAAGCCCCCCAAAAAGTTCAGATTTCCGGTCGGGCCAAATTGTCAAGTTGTCAACCAAACTTCGCTCGGTGCCAGGCCGTGGCAATGGCGGGCCTCGGGTTTGCCGCAGCTCAAGACGACGCGTGCCACTCGGCGCACACCGCCAAGGCGGACTGCGCAGCGGATGCCAAGTGCCCCTTGGCTTCCGCAAGTTCTTTAGCTTACGGTCTACCACGGGCCACAGGCTCGCTACACCCATTGCTTCTCTGCCTCTGAATTGGTCTGGAGGCACCTGGTGCGAGGCGTCTGCCGTGCCCAGCGCCTGTTACACCAAGGACAAGTCTTTTTTCTGTGGTCGTTCCGGGGTTGGGGTTGTGGACAGCGAGAAGGTTGAGGGATGGACTACCGGGACTAGCGATGGACTCGATAGGGCCCAAGGGTTTTTCTGGCAGACTCGTGTCCTGCACAGACCGAAGCTTCATCCTCGACAGTGCTCAGGAGGACGCCAAGAAGCTCCCACCGGCCGTGTTCACCTGCGCGACAAAGACAAAGGCGCGCCGATCCGAGCTGCTCCCCCGCGCGGAGGCGACTTCGGGCTTTGACTCACTCGATCTTGTCATCTTGTCCGAATAAACATCGAAATATATGAGGCATGTGGGTAGCTCAGAGCGGTCGGTGGGGCGTGTGCCAGGTGGAGAAGCTGGGCGTGGTCTGGCGCGGGAACGCTTCCAGCCAGAGCTCGCACGAGCTGCTGGAGGCTGCAGAGTTGCCCTCGGACTTCAGCTGGTGCAACAAGGATGGCAAGAGCTACTGCACCATGTCCCGCAACCAGCACATCCCGCAGTACTGCGGCTCCTGCTGGGCCCACGGCGCCATCTCGGCGCTGGGCGACCGCATCAAGATCGCGCGCAACGCCCAGGGCGTGGACATCAACCTCGCGGTGCAGCACCTGCTGAACTGCGGCGGCGTGGGCACCTGCAAGGGCGGCAGCGTCGACGGGCCCTACCAGTGGCTCATGGACATCTCCAAGAAGGGCACCGGCATCAGCTACGAGACGGCGAACCCCTACGTGGCCTGCACTTCCGACTCCGATGAGGGCTTCTGCAAGTACGTGGACACGTCCTGCAAGGCCTTGAACGTGGCCCGCACCTGCGGCAGCTTCTCCCAAGAGGGCGGGCCCTGCACGGGCCTCGGCGAGTTCCCCAACGCCACGATCTCGGACTACGGATCCATCTCGGGGGCCGACGCCATGATGAAGGAGATCTTCCACCGTGGTCCCATCTCGTGCGGCGTGGACGCCAACCCCCTGCTGAACTACGAGTCTGGCATCATCAAGACCAAGGGCGAGGGCGTGGACCACGTGGTCTCCGTGGTGGGTTGGGGCACGGACCCCAAAGACGGAATGTTCTGGATCGTCCGCAACTCGTGGGGCGAGTACTGGGGCGAGACGCTCGGGCATATACGCTCAGTCCTGTGTTTTTGTCGTTGTCATGTTCCACCAGTTCCACCCTCAACACCTCTCGTAATGTCTTCAAAGGATGGGCTACTTCCGCGTCGCGAAGGGCGCCCTGCTCCTGGAGGACCAGTGCTCCTGGGCGGTGCCTTCCAGCTTCACGGCCGCGGAGAAGAAGAACCAGGCTCGTTCCTCCCCGCAGATCCAGAGATGTGGCCCGATAGAGTGGGCGTGCAAGAATCCTTGAAGTGGTGCTGTTCAGGTGCATTGCCATGAGGGCGGCGACAACTGCAAGGCCAAGGCCGCGCAGATCGTCGTCTGAGCCGGCGCAATACGACAAGCGCAAGATGCAGTAGATTATCTAGTTATCTAGTATCCAGTACCATGCGTGTCTTTTCCAGCGGGCTGGATCCCCTGTCATAGTTTTGCACGGCTTCTTTTGGGAAGTGGTGCCAGACCAGAAAAGGACTTGGGCCCTGGCCCGGCTGTCTCCGGAGTTTCAATCCAGGTAGCCCGCGGCCAGGGGGCGGGGTGGGTGGCGCATGATTGGGCCCACCGGCACCCAGTCTGCAAGCGATGCAGTGCACGGAACTGACGCTTGCAGGCTTCCCGCAAAAGCAGAGAAAGCCTGGACCGAGTGCCATTATGGTCGGGTTTTGATACCATTGATGCCCAGTTATACATATAGTACACAGATATATATATATATGATATGATATACGCATTTATTGTAGTATTTATTTACACATATTGTCTCCATGTTATCTCCATGTTAGCTCCTACAAGCAAGTTGCCCCAATGCTGGCCTTTCCTGGCCTCCTCAGCTTGTCCCAGGCACCCTTAGCAGATTGAGCTCCTCAGCCCCGACCCGGAAGCTCGACCCGACCCGGAACCACCGATGAACCTCCATCTGTTGTATAAGGGGTATATAACCGTTTAAGGGCCCATACTAAGGGACCATGTAGCTACACTAAGAGTTTTTAGGGTTTAGGGCCTGTAGGGTTTCAATAGAGTTTGAGTACCCTTGTTGAGTGATGTTTGTGCGAGCTCAGCCCTTCTAAGCTTATGCCTGATGCCTGCTCAGGAAGATGTTGAGATTGCGAACTTACGGTTGGCTCCCCGCAACTTTTGGCCCACGTACCTTCCTCTGGTTCGCTTGCGTTGTCAGATCTGGGAGTGTGTGGGGGGGGGCGGGGGGCGGGGGGTGAGGTGGGAGTGCTCCTCTGTGAAACACTTTGGCCAAGGCCCATGGCAGGGGGCCCAGTCCTAAAAGGGAATAATTTTCAGAACCGGGACGAGGCCATCGATGCGAACTCACAAAAGGCCTACCCCTGTACCTTAGCCCTCGAGACCCTCAAGCCCCACTAAGCAACACTAACCCCTGTACCCTAAACTGGGATAGGGGTCAAAAAGATAAACAGAAACAAAGAGTATCAACAAAAACAGCAAGGGATCAATCAAAAGATGAACCCTAAACCCTAGATGAACTGCCTACGTTTAGACCCCAATATCGCAGTCATGAGGCCATGCGTCGGATCCCAGCAGCCAAGCACTCTTCCAGCGCAAGTTGGTTGAAAATGAACAGCTGCGTCGGGGTTTTCAGGAGGTTTTCTGGGGTTAGGCTTGAGTCTAAGTTTGGGGCCTTGATGAAACTTCTCTATGAATCATAGAGGAACTTCAGGCTTCCGTGAAGATAAGAGAGGGCCTTGAGGGTTTCTGGGCTTAAGGCCTCTTGGGCTCCATGTTCGAGGCAAGGGCTCCAGGACGTACCATTACTCAGTGGATCAACCCTGAAGTTACGTACCCAACACGAAGCTGAACATGACTGACATGCATCAAGGGATTGCATGAACTAGGGGATCCCCCGTGGACCAGCAAGATGTATGTCTCGCGAGCTTAGCACCTCATGCATGGGATTTGGAGCTAAGGGTGCCATGAGTTTCGGGTGCTTTCGCGTGTAGAGGCAGTGCAGCTTTGTCACCAAGTTTTGAACAGTGTGGCGTAGCACCCCACTATGGTTGAGGCCTTGGGCCCTTTATAGGTGGCTGCAGAAGTCAAGAGCAACAGTAAACAGCACCTTCAAACGACGCTTGGCTGGGCGAAGTGGCAGTCATCCAGGCCACTGTGCGTTTTATGCGATGTCCTTGAAGCCTGCCCTTCTCGAGAGAACCCCTAAAAAGATGGGAGTTGCAGTATGGTACAGCATGGACATGTCCTCCACGAGTCCCCAACTTGCAGGTTTTGAATCGCTGTTTTGTCGAGGTGGGGGGCTTCTCAAGGAGGATCCACCAGTGACGAAAGGGCTGCGCAAGGATTTTGTGAGATCCCCTTTGTAGAACGAATGGGAAAGATCGGAAGGCATGGGGTCGTATGCGCACGCCAGACATATCCTGTCTCAGCATTGATATTGCGGATCATCGCCAGGTTTTGTGGCTCTATTCCAGTTTTTGTCCACACGCCATGGGAAATGAGCTGTGCGCACATCCGACCACTGAAGTGTCATGGGTGCACCAGATCTTCTTCCCAATGTACCTGGTGAAGGTGTCGGATTTGCTGCAGATGAGCGGCAGACCCAGATCCCACGGCTTCCTGTTGCAGGAGAACCTCTTGCACGTGTGGGAGCCAGGCATGTCCGTGATCTTCATAACCCTAAACCCCAAAACCCTAAACCCTAAACCCTAAACCCTAAACCCTGATGTTCGTTTGAAAAAACAATATCTCGGAGGGCCTCTGGTGCATTTGTTATTTCCTGGGGGTGGGGAGGGGGGGTGGGGAGAAGGTAGTACTTGTGGGGTTTGCTTCTGCGCGCTGCTGCTTTAGAATTCCTGAGGCAGCACGAGCTCCAAAAGTCCAAGTCCAAATACATATATCGAACCCTAAACACCATGCCGAGCCGAAACCGTAAACCCGCACACAAACCCAATACCTCAACCTCCGACCAAGCCTAAGACCCTAAAACGCTAAGTTCCAAACCCATAATCTCAATGCCTGAACCCTGACCCGCTAAAACCCCAAATGCAAACCTGTAGATCCTCCATCGAGCCTCCTCACACCTATATGCGTGAATTGATGATGCTGTTAGCGGTCTTCGCGGTGTGGCCAGGAGACCCCAGCGCTAGTAGCAGGATGTAATTAGCGGGTCGGGCGCGAGTGGGGGTAGGGGTGGCATGTGGGCGGGGAGGGGGGGGGGGGGGTTGCGGCTAAGGGTGAAGGCTTAGAGCGAACTTGGTATACCAAAACATGTACTATTCTACGAGTATACAAGAGTACACTTTTGCATGCCATACTATCTAATACTCTTGCGGAGTTTGTTATTGCTTCAAGCTTGAAGCAGGTTAAAGTTTCAGTATGTTTCCAGACTTTGTGACTTTCCATGGCATCAAGGAAAATGCAAACAAGAGCTGCCGCAGGGGGAGCCTAGAAGGTAGGAGTTTCAGGGATAAGGTTTTGAGATTTCGGAGCTCGCAATGAGTTCACAAAGATTCTAGCCTGTTGGAAAGGCTTAATTTTAGGTCCAAGGTCCCGGGGGTCCAGGGTTTGCCAACAAGAATCTTTGGTTGGGGCTTTCGATGCTTTGGGTTGTTTAGGGAACAACCAACCCCAAAACATGCACAAGCTCGACGTCTAAAGCCGAAATCAGCCTTGGCCTCAAAGAAGCTTCAAAAAGTGTTTACCAATTCGTAGTCCCCTTCCCCCCCTCCCCCCCTTCCGGCCCCCTAAACCCCAATTCACTCTCTTCCCAGACAGCATCAAGAGTCACGTCTGGGAAATGGGGGCCCGGCGTATGTCTTCAACACTCTCTGTCGAGATGAGTTAGGGTTTTTCAAGCCTTGGCAAGAGTGATTTCTGGGTTTAGGTTGATTTTTGAAGGAGTAGGGTTTGGTCAGTGGAACGAGGGCTTTGATTGGGGTGCGTCTTGGGTGCGTTTTGGAATTTCTTGGAGGATTTAGAGTTGTTGTTGCAATTTAACAGGCACTTCTTACTCGTGCGCCTCAGATCATAAGCGCCAAATCTTGAACGCCAAACCAGAAGAATTTCGGGGCTCACGTCCACCTTGGCCCTTAACTGGTAGAAGCCTATAAGGCGAAACTTCGCGGGCTAAATGACCACGCGAATTGTCACATGGACTGCGTTCCAATCTGAAGCGCTGAGCGCAACGTGGCAATGTGACTGCCATCCTACGAAGGGGTCTAAGCGGTCCCCAATGACATATGAAGTTGTTCAAGCTGAGCACTTCTGCTGCAGCCTATTCCACGAAATCAAACCGAAGAGGACCAGGCATGAAGACATGAAAAGTGAAATCAACTGCTCTCGACAAGCATGAGAATCACCAAGAGTTATGCATAACTCTTGGTGAAATGGTCACGGTTAGCTCCAAGAGTTTTCACTTGCTAACTGTAATCATATGGGAAGTGAAAACAAGATGTCAAAACAAACATTTCACCCAGAGTTATGCATAACTCTTGGTGATTCTGCCTGTCTGTGTTTTTTCGGGGCGCCTCCCTACGGGAACGCAGCCCATCTAGACCCTTTGCAATCATGTCTGGGGATGGACATGTGACACTTCGCGCGGTCATTTAGCCTGCGAAGCTTCGCCTTATATACGCTTCTAACTACCAGTTAAGGGCCAAGGTGGACGTGACCCCCGAAATTCTCCTGGTTTGGCGTTCAAGATTGGGCGCTTATGATCTGAGGCGCGCGAGTAAGAAGTGCCTGTTAAATTAAATGCTCCAAGAAGTTCCAAAACGCACCCAAGACGCACCCCAATCAAAAACCTTGTTCCTCGGCCCAAACCCTTATTCCTTCAAGAATCAACCTAAACCCAGAAATCGCTCTTGCCAAGGGTTGAAAACTCTGACTCATCTCGACGGAGAGTGTTGAAGACAAACGCCGGGCACCATTTTGCAGACGTGAGTCTTGGTACTGTCTGGGAAGAGTGAATTGGGGTTTAGGGCTGGGGGTGCGGAAGGGGGGAGGGGGGAGGGGACTACGAATTGGTAAACACTCTTTGAATCTTCTTTGAGGCTAAGGCTGATTTCGGTTTTAGACGTCGAACTTGTGGATGTTTTGAGGTTGGTTGTTCCCTAAACAACCCAAAGCATCGAAAGCCCCAACCAAAGATCCTTGTTGGCAAACCCTGGACCCCCGGGACCTTGGACCTAAAATTAAGCCTTTCCAACAGGCTAGAATCTTTGTGAACTCATTGCGAGCCCCGAAATCTCAAAACCTTATCCCTGAAACTCCTACCTTCTAGGCTCCCCCTGCGGCAGCTCTTGCTTGCATTCTCCTTGATGCCATGGAAAGTCACAAAGTCTGGAAACATACTGAAACTTTAACCTGCTTCAAGCTTGAAGCAATAAGAAACTCCGCAAGAGTATTAGATAGTATGGCATGCAAACTTACTCTTGTATTCTCGTAGAATAGTATATGTTTTGGTATACTAAGTTCGCTCTAAGCCTTCACTCTTGGCTTAGCTACAACCCCTCCCCCCCCCCCCCCCCCCCCTCCCCGCCCACATGCCACCCCTACCGACCCGCTAATTGAAACCCTACTTCTAGAGCCCGAAACCAAGGTCCGTCTGGGGCAGGTCAAGGGCGATCAACACCCGACTCATTACATCCTGCTACTCCCACCATCCTTCCCCCAGCTGGGTCTCCTGGCCACACCACGAAGACCGCCAAAAGCATCAGGATGGGGGGTCTATATTTTGGTCTCATAAGGCTTTAGAATCGAAGTTCATGCTGTGTGAGTTTGCGCTTTGGGTTTGGGATTGTGAGGTCTGTGGATACAAGGCTTCAGAGGTCAGGGTTTGAGGTTTGGGTTTAGGTTTAGGATGACGCGTTCCAGGGTTTAGGCATGTTCGGGGGTCGAGGTTTTGGGTTTGGGGTTTTAGGTTTTAGCGGGGGTTTAGGCTCTGTAGGGTATATTATACAGTTTGAGGTTTGGATTTGCTGTCTTGTGTGGGGTTGGGGTTCGAATTTAAATAGCAACTCACACACACACACCAGCAAAACTCCATTCTATTCTGTGCAATGTTGGTTGTTCACATATCTTCTTGGTGTCTACGAATATGTTTCGTAGGGGCTGGGGGGCCTTCCGAGATATAGAAGCCCCCCAGGCATGTTCGTGATCTTCATCTCGCACCAGTGGCTGTCGAAGCTGCATCCCGATCCGCGAGGTCGCTTGGTAGCCCAGTGGTACCCCTTGGGTTTTTGCCCCTTTAGGGTGGGTTTAGGGTTTAGGGTTTAGGGTTTAGGGTTTAGGGTTTAGGGTTTAGGGTTTAGGGTTGAGGGTTGAGGGTTCAGGGGCTTCCCTTCTCAAGTAGCCAACCCAAAAACAGGGGTGCCCCTGTTTGCAATATGGCTACTGAGCGGCCAAGGTGAGCAGCTAGGGGTTCTGCAGTCAGCATTGAGACACCTTGTGGACGAATCGCTGCACTTGAGTTTGGATGGCCATTGCGCTTTCCATTTCGACGGCGTAAAGGCAACGGCGGAGCTTCGGTCCCAGATCCCTGAAGCCTACGTTTGGATGGACTGGTTTGGCGTCCCGCAGGTTACCTCACAGGATCAGAAAGCCGGCATCAACGAAGATACGACGCAATCTGATGCGGCGAAAGCGATTCAGAGCATCCCAGGATATGTCGAGAGGTCGAATCTCCTCGTCGCACTCGTGCCAGACTTGTTTCACACGGACACCGATGAACTTTGCAACAGGAGTTCTTGGCTTTCGCGTGGTTGGTGTGAGGCGGAGTTGCTGTGCCATATACTCGCGAACAAGAAGGACACCACGGTGGTCACCATAAGTGCGTCCATGTCTGCAGAACTCACTGTTTGCCGTGTTGAGTGGGATGCTGTCAAAAACAGTGCCTTCACGGTTGAAAGTGATCGTTCTGTGGTCACTGATCTGGTCAACAAAGCACTTTCTACCAAAATTCGGCATGCGACAGACTCCGGCAATTTGGCCGTTGCGCGCCACCTTCTCGCTGGGCAGGCGGTCTTTAATGACTTTGCAGTGAACGACTGGGATGTGGATTTCTTTTGCAATCATTTTCGTTTCTGTGGCCTCCCAGAAGCTGCTCAACAAGCTAGCCCCTGTCTCAGTCACTTTAAGTTACTTTGTTGTCTGTTTACCCTCGCAGAATCTGGCAATTTTCTGTTGAAGAGCCGAGGCCCGATGACCGGCTTGCTGTGCGCAGTTCTTTCAGGCAACACGTGCATGATCCGAATCCTTGTTGAAGCCGCGGCAGACGTCACTTGGCAGCTTTCTAGCAGGGATTTTGTTGTGATCATTCTTTGGGGGAGGAGGTTTGCACCAGTGTTGCACCTATGCATCTGAGGTCCATCAGAGATGTTTTAATCTGCTTGATGTCTTCCGTCAGCCCGACGGGCACACACCTTTGATGGTGGCGGCGCATACGAACCAAGATCCTTCCGTCCTGTCTACCCTCATCGAGCTTCGCTCTGATGTGAACGCAACCGAGGAATTTGGATTGGTGCTGTCTCATTTCATCAAGTCGCCCGGGCAAGCGCGAGTACTGGCCCAAGCTAAAGCCGACCTGACTAGCGGAGGGCCTCTGGGATCTGGTCCGTTGGTCACAGTTTCGGCGTGGTCAAGCTGTGAGACCGTGGCAGCAATGATCGCATGCAGGTGCGAAGTCAATGCCCAGGAAGAATTCTTTTCTCCCCTACACACAGTTTCCACGACCTCGAAGCAACATGCAGCCGAGAAAGCCCAGCTACTGATTGGGCTTCGAGCCGACCTCGACAAGAGGGCTTCGTTGTCAGGCTCGGTTTTCAAGGCAGCCAATAAGTAGAAGTTGAACCAAGGAGAAGAACACGCAGGGCCCTTCAGCATAGCAAGGGTAGACGCGTTTGTGCGTTGTCAGCCAGCTCAACCCCCCCCCCCCCCAGGTGCCTTTGGACTCATATGCTGCTGCTCACGGATGGTCTCCTACATCTCAGGTTTCGCATCGTGCTCTGCGCGGACAAAGCTGTTTGGAAGCTACGAAGGTATCACACCATTGGGTATGGCAGCTCTTTTCGGGGACCATGCCGTAGTTCGAGTTCTCCTGCAAGCTGGGGCGAACCGATCGATTGCAAATGCTCGGGGGGACCTTCCAGCTTCTTGCCGAGAATCTGGGTTTTTAGGGCACACCTTGTTGGCACATGTAGAAAGGGCCCCGACATCTAGCCGCTCTTGCACGTTCTAGCTAGGATCAGCAAACTCAGGTTTCCTTGGCAATTTACCAGGGGCACCAGATGGTGGCGGATGAGCTCATGGCGGATGAGCTCATGAGCTGCTACTTTTGAAGGGTATATGAGCAGCGGTTTTTTTCCTACGGCTCTTGAGAGATACTTATATGCGGAAATAACTCCGGGAACCGGGGCGCGAAAGTGCACGGGACTGTGGCCGCGGAAGGGTTGCGGAAGCACATCTTCGCGGAAGCGACGATAGAAACAATTATGGTTAAGGTGTTTGTTACATTCCTGGAGGCCAGCGGGCGCGTTGTTTTGTGTGGATTTCGGATGTCTGGTTCAGAGTGGGTTATACAGAATTTCCGTTTTCTGGGAAGTCAAAGGTTACAGCCTTTCGTACGAAAGCGATAGACCCAGTTCAGAATAAGGCTTCTATAGAGACCCCAAGCTTCCTACACAAAGATTTCAAAAACCCTAAACCCATGTAAACTGTCAACCCAAAAGAAAACAAGTCGGATTTTCAGGCTTGAGCGTCCCAAAGCCAGGCTTCGAGGCCATTTATGCGTGAAGTTTGACGCAAACTCGGCGCAAGCGCGGCGGAAGATCCGCGGAAGCCCGCATGCCCATCTGAAGGCCCAGGCCCCTCCTACTGAGTCCGTGCTCCTGCAAGTAGATGGTGCAGCTGCGCAGCTGCTGCCAGCTCAAGCTGCCGCATTCTCATGGAACATGTGTCTCATCGTGTAGTCGCATAGTTCCAGGGTAGCGCGCTACATCCCAAAACTGCCCGATCCATCACTGTAGACTCTGGCCACCGACCATGAATGCCTCCAAAGGCGGGCGCTACAAAACAGGTCGCGAAATCATGTGCGGCCTTCCCTATCCACAACTTTCCAAGTAGTCCGCACGTAGCAATCGAACCCCTTCCAAGTTTCAAAACAGTGTTTGGTCGAGCTCGCGCTTTGGACCACCCGACGCGTGTTCGAGTTTATATCCTACGGACCTACTCGCGGAAGCAAGTTTCCCAAAAATGCGCGAAATCAGTCCGCGGAAGCGTACGCGGAAGCAAAGGAAGCGGACGAGCAGAAGCAATGCTCGCGGAAGGGCTCCGCGGAAGGGTTCGTTATTTCGTAGAAAATCTTCTGGGAATAAAAACCACGGCTCATATGAGCTTCGGACGAAGGCTTTGGAAGACTTATGTGGCCGGTGGTCGGACGAAGTTCCTACATGATGTTCTTGAATTTCTGTTTGTACCCTTCAGAGCGATGTGAAGTGACTCGGTGTCGCGACAGGTTTTGCGGGCACTTCACCGTGTATACAACATACAGGTCACACTTGATCCACACATGTAGTGGCCGTCGTATGGTCCCTGACACTTGTGCATGTCAGCTTGCGCAGAGGCCAGGCCTACACTGACAAAAAGTTGCACTGGGATGCTCGGGCCTAGCTGCCTTCGGCTCAGCCTGTGCCTATGGGCGAAAAAGCCAGAGTTGGGAACTGAACGAGATCAAAAAAATCGCTAGAATCAGTATGCAGGTGGCTGCACAAGAGGAGGTCCATGTTTACTGCCGAGGGGTGTGCTGGAGGAGCCGAGAACGAAATCACGTCAAAACAATGTTGCTTCTTTTCAGCGGGTGCTTGGGACCAGAATCGGCAACGAAAACACTTGCCAGAAACAAAACAAAACCATCAGACTCGACAATCTTTAACACGGCGACAGTCCCTGCTTATGTTGCGCTCAAGCATGTCGCCGATTAACTGGTCAGCCCGTCAATCACCCTACTGCCGAGCATAACCACTCGCCACTCCGCGAGCGCTGCTGCAGCTGCGAAGCTTGCGTTAGAGAAACACAGCGCGATGAAATGCGATGAACTTGTTGCGTTGTATAGACTAAAGCACGGGCCAATGTACGCGTACGCGTCTCCAAATCTCCTTTCGCACGCGCTTCGCTACTAGGCCTGGCCGATTACAATTGGCCTTGTACGCGTGGCAAGTCGCAGCGGTGCCCTGGTGTTGTGCAACGGCTCCAAGACAGCGTCGAAAACTGTACCTGCGTAAGCTGCCTCAGCAAAATGCAGCTGCCGTCGGCTGATGCAATTTGTGTAGCTGTATACTGTGCCAGCTGCTCCAGTGCTCTATGCTGCGTGCCAGTGGTTGGACTCACCGTTGGTTTGAGGCCTGCGGAGTAGAGGGTGAGGACACCTGCATCCGAACACCTGTCACCTTCGACCTTTGCACGGCACAACGGCCACCCCACACCGACATGCTTTGACTCAAACTTCTCCCGTCGTTGCCGTGTCTTCTTGCGCAGGGGTCATGTCTGCCACAGGCTCCATGGATTCTAGGGACTCTAGGGGCGAGCAAAACTTTCATCCGTTGCTCAATGATTCTTTCCATATCCACTGGTAGGAGACTCTGAGAGTCCCATCAGTAGTGGCTTTAAGTCCGGGACAAATGTCCTTTTAGACACATTAAGCCCGAGTTCCGTGGCATGTCTTTCCCACACGACCAAATCCTGGTTTCTTTCAAAAGTGCCAAAGGTACGAGGCCACTAGGCAGCGCTTGACAGACCTTGCGCTTGCCCATCGTTTTGGCCGACTTGGGCTGGTGGATGAGAGTGTGCATCAAAAGGGCTCTCCATGACGCGCAGTGGTATTTCTTTCTTATGCTGCATCCTGACCATGTGTGACGAAATGGTGGCTCAATGCGGAAGATGGAGCTATTCTTGCACGGTTCAGACGCAGGCCCGGCATGAAGCAACCCTAGCAGGGCCCCGGCCATTAGCAACCTTAGCACACAAGCATGTCGATACACCGTGCATCAGGGCTTTGCTCTGTCGCTCCATGTCACGATCTTTGCCCGTATGATCCTGTGTGGCTGGTTGGCCGTTTTTTGGCAGCTCGGACCCTTGCTTGGCAGCATTTCTAAGGTTCAGCTTCTCACAAGTCCCCAGCCATCTTGGACCCCACAGCATCGCTGTCCCCTGGGGCTCCTGGCACAACACTTCCACCAAGGTACGACTGCCGATGGCAAAAGCTGTGCCAGGCGCTGCTCCGCATCTACAGATCTGGGGAAAAGTTTGAGCCAAGTTTGAGGATCTCTTAGGAAGCTCGGGTACGAAAAAAAAACCTCGAGTCTTTGACAGCACTGCCAGGCCGAACCTGGAAGTTTGTTTGCGGAGGAGTGGGAGGTGTTTCTCAAGCCGCGCGCTTGGCTTCTGGCTTCTGGGTAGTTGATGCCACGTTGACGTGTCCGCGTGGCTCGAGAGGACTCTGTCTTTCCAACATCTTCCAGTCGCAGACCAAGGAAGCCTTCTGCAGGAGGAGCTGCACTGGCAGGGGCTTCAGGCTTCAGGGTTTAGGGTTCAGGGCTGAGGGTTTCGGGTCAAGGGTCAGGGCCTGGGGGTGGTTGGGGACACCAGGAAAGCTGGTTGTAGGGGTTTGAGTGCGGGGCTGGGGGGCACATGTTGGAGCAGGGTACGGGTTTGAGCACGGCAAGGGGGGGGACGGAGGGCTGGGTGTTGGAGCCAGGAAGGCTGGTCGGGTTCGTGTGAGTGAAGGGGTACAGGGAAAGCGCCAAAAATGCCGTGACCAAGTGGGGCTCACAAGTTGCAAACTAAGAAGGACTTCAGCATTTTTTGGGGGGTGACGAGGGGATTAGAGGTGGGGTGCCTGCTACCCATACACCTGCGATCCTGCGGCCCGAGGCCGAGGCGGATTTTCGTAAGTTCCCCCTAAACCTACGCAGAGGACAACGTTGATCTGTTTCGGGAAAGAAGCCGGTCTGAACAAGCACCACATCTCGGGTAGGCAAGAACTTTCAAACCTTAACTTACAAAAGGCCTACCCCTGTACCTTAGTCCTCGAGACCCTCAAGCCCCAATAAGCAACACTAACCCCTGTACCCAAAACTGGGATAGGGGTCAAAAAGATAAACAGAAACAAAGAGGATCAGCAAGAACAGCAAGGGATCAATCAAAAGATGAACCCTAAACCCTAGATGAACTGCCTACTTGTAGGCCCCAATATCGCAGTCATGAGGCCATGCGTCGGATCCCAGCAGCCAAGCACGCATCCAGAGCAAGTTGGTTGAAAATGAACAGCTGCGTCGGGGGGGTTCAGGAGGCTTTATGGGGTTAGGCTTGAGGATAAGTTTGGGGCCTTGATGAAACGGCTCCAGGACGTACCATAACTCAGTGGATCAACCCTGAAGTTACGTACCCAACACGAAGCTGAACATGACTGACATGCATCAAGGGATTGCTAGGGGATCCCCCGTGGACCAGCAAGATGTATGTGTATGTCTCGCGAGCTTAGCATGTCATGCATGGGATTTGGAGCTTAGGGTGCCATGAGTTTCGGGTGCTTTCGCGTGTAGAGACAGTGCAGCTTTGTCACCAAGTTTTGAACAGTGTGGCGTAGCACCCCACTATGGTTGAGGCCTTGGGCCCTTTATAGGTGGCTGCAGAAGTCAAGAGCAACAGTAAACAGCACCTTCAAACGACGCTTGGCTGGGCGAAATGGCAGTCATCCCGGCCACAGTGCGTTTTATGCGCCGTCCTTGAAGCCTGCCCTTCTCGAGAGAACCCCTAAAGAGATGGGAGTTGCAGCATGTTCATGGACATGTCCTCCACGAGTCCCCAACTTGCAGGTTTCGAATCGCTGTTTTGTCGAGGTGGGGGTCTTCTCAAGGAGGATCCACCGGTGACGAAAGGGCTGCGCAAGGATTTGTGAGATCCCCTTTGTAGAACGACTGGGAAAGATCGGAAGACATTGGGTCGTATGTGCACGCCAGACACATCCTGTCTCAGCATTGATATTGCGGATCATCGCCAGGTTCTGTGGCTCTATTCCAGTTTTTGTCCACACGCCATGGGAAATGAGCTGTGCGCACATCCGACCACTGAAGTGTCATGGGTGCACCAGACCTTCTTCCCAATGTACCTGGTGAAGGTGTCGGATTTGCTGCAGATGAGCGGCAGACCCAGATCCCACGGCTTCCTGTTGCAGGAGAACCTGTTGCACGTGTGGAAGCCAGGCATGTCCGTTGATCTTCATAACCCTAAACCCTAAACCCTAAACCCTAAACCCTGATGTTTGAAAAAACAATATAGAAGCCCCCCAAACAATTCAGTGCCCCCCAGGCATGTTCGTGATCTTCATCTCGCACCAGTGGCTGTCGAAGCTGCATCCCGATCCGCGAGGTCGCTTGGTAGCCCAGTGGTACCCCTTGGGTTTTTGGTCCTTCTTTGGTTCAAGGTTGCCTTATCAAGTAGCCAACCCAAAAACAGGGGTGCCCCTGTTGCAATATGGCTACTGGGCTGCCGAGGTCAGCAGATAGGGGTTCTGCAGTCAGCATTGAGACACCTTGTGGACGAATCGCTGCACTTGAGTTTGGATGGCCATTGCGCTTTCCATTTCGACGGCGTCAAGGCAACGGCGGAGCTTCGGTCCCAGATCCCTGAAGCCTACGTTTGGATGGACTGGTTTGGCGTCCCGCAGGCTACCTCACAGGATCAGAAAGCCGGCATCAACGAAGATACGACGCAATCTGATGCAGCGAAAGCGATTCAGAGCATCCCAGGATATGTCGAGAGGTCGAATCTCCTCGTCGCACTCGTGCCAGACCTGTTTCACACGGACACCGATGAACTTTGCAACAGGAGTTCTTGGCTTTCGCGTGGTTGGTGTGAGGCGGAGTTGCTGTGCCATATACTCGCGAACAAGAAGGACACCACGGTGGTCACCATAAGTGCGTCCATGTCTGCAGAACTCACTGTTTGCCGTGTTGAGTGGGATGCTGTCAAAAACAGTGCCTTCACGGTTGAAAGTGATCGTTCTGTGGTCACTGATCTGGTCAACAAAGCACTTTCTACCAAAATTCGGCATGCGACAGACTCCGGCAATTTGGCCGTTGCGCGCTACCTTCTCGCTGGGCAGGCTGTCTTTAATGACTTTGCAGTGAACGACTGGGATGTGGATTTCTTTTGCAATCATTTTCGTTTCTGTGGCCTCCCAGAAGCTGCTCAACAAGCTAGCCCCTGTCTCAGTCACTTTGTTGTCTGTTTACCTTCGCTATCTCGCAATTTACTGTTGAAGAAGAGCCGAGGCCCCATGACCGGCTTGCTGTGCGCAGTTCTGTCAGGCAACACGCGCATGATCCGAATCCTTGTTGAAGCCGCGGCAGATGTCACTTGGCAGCTTTCTAGCAGGGATTTTGTGATCATTCTTTGGGGGAGGAGCTTTGCACCAGTGTTGCACCTACGCATCTGAGGTCCATCAGAGATGTTTTAATCTGCTTGATGTCTTCCGTCAGCCCGACGGGCACACACCTTTGATGGTGGCGGCACATACGAACCAAGATCCTTCCGTCCTGTCTACCCTCATCGAGCTTCGCTCTGATGTGAACGCAACCGAGGATTTTGGATTGGTGCTGTCTCATTTCATCAAATCGCCCGGACAAGTGCAAGTGCTGGCCCAAGCTAAAGCCGACATCACTAGCGGAGGGCCTGTGGGATCCGGTCCGTTGGTCACAGTTTCGGCGTGGTCAAGCTGTGAGACCGTGGCAGCCATGATCGCATGCAGGTGCGAAGTCAATGTCCAGGAAGAATTCTTTTCTCCCCTACACACAGTTTCCACGACCTCGAAGCAACATGCAGCCGAGAAAGCCCAGCTACTGATTGGGCTTCGGGCTGACCTCGACAAGAGGGCTTCGTTGTCAGGCTCGGTTTTCAAGGCAGCTAATACGTAGAGCTTGAACCAAGGAGAAGAACACGCAGGGCCCTTCAACATAGCAAGGGTAGACGCGTTTGTGCGTTGTCACCAAACCCCCCCCCCCCACCAGGTGCCTTTGGACTCCTATGCTGCTGCTCACGGATGGTCTCCTACATCTCAGGTTTCGCATCGTGCTCTGCGCGGACAAAGCTGTTTGGAAGCTACGAAGGTATTACGCCATTGGGCATGGCAGCTCTTTTCGGGGACCATGCCGTAGTTCGACTTCTTCTGCAAGCTGGGGCGAACCGATCGATTGCAAATGCCCGGGGGGACCTTCCAGCTTCTTGCTGAGAATCTGGGTTTTAGGTTACACCTTGTTGGCACATGTAGAAAAGGCCCTGACATCTAGCCACTCTTGCACGTTCTAGCTAGGATCAGCAAACTCAGGTTTCCTTGGCAATTTATCAGGGGCACCAGATGGTGGCGGATGAGCTCATGAGCTTCTGATACGTTTGAAGGGTATATGAGCTTCGGACGAAGGCTTTGGAAGACTTATGTGGCCGGTGGTCGGACGAAGTTCCTACAGGATGTTCATGAATTTCTGTTTGTACCCTTCAGAACGATGTAAAGCGACTCAATTTCACGACAGGTGTTGCGGCACTTCATCATACATACAAAATACAGGTCACACTTGATCCACACATGCAGTGGCCTCCATATCGTTCCTGACACTTGTGCATGTCAGCTGGCGCTGGGGCCTGCCACCCTGATGGCCTGGATCCTTACTGTTGGTTAGCATGGGGGGAATTAGGTACATATGCCCTAATTCCATGATTCCCTGCTAACCAACAGTAAGGATCTTGCAGCTAAGAGAGGGGCACAACACTGACAACAAAGTTGCACTGGGGTGCCCAGGCCTAGCTGGGCTATTCCTCTGGCTCAGCCTGTTCCTAGGGGCGAAAACCAGAGTTGTGTACTGAACCAGATCAAAAAAAATCGCTAGTGTGTAGGTGGCTGCACATGTCATTGTTCACGGGGCCTTGCCAAGAGGAAGTCCATGTTTACTGCCGAGGGGTGTGCTGGAGGAGCCGAGCACGAAAACACGTCAAAACAATGTTGCTTCTTGTCAGCGGGTGCTTGGGACCAGAATCGGCAACGAAAACACTTGCCAGAAACAAAACAAAACCATCAGACTCAACAGTCTTTAACAAGGCGACAGTCCCTTCTCATGTTGCGCTCAAGCATGTCGACGATTAACTGGTCCGGGATGAAATGCGATGAACTTGTTGCGTTGTATAGACTAAAGCATGGTCCAATGTACGCGTATGCGTCTCCAAATCTCCCATCGCACGCGCTTCGCTACTAGGCCTGGCCGATTACAACTGGCCTTGTACACGTGTCAAGTCGCAGCGGTGCCCTGGTGTTGTGCAACGGCTCCAAGACAGCATCGGTATCTGTACCTGCGTAAGCTGCCTCAGCAAAATGCAGCTGCCGTCGGCTGATGCAATTGGTGTAGCTGTATACTGTGCTAGCTGCTCCAGTGCTCTATGCTGCGTGCCAGTGGTTGGACTCACCTGAAGTTGGTTTGAGGGCTGCGGAGTAGAGGGTGAGGACACCTGCATCCGAACACCTGTCACCTTCGACCTTTGCACGGCACAACGGCCACCCTACACCGACATGCTTTGACTCAAACTTCTCCCGTCGTTGCCGTGTCTTCTTGCGCAGGGGTCATGTCTGCCACAGGCTCCATGGATTCTAGGGACTCTAGGGGCGAGCAAAACTTTCATCCGTTGCTCAATGATTCTTTCCATATCCACTGGTAGGAGACTCTGAGAGTCCCATCAGTAGTGGCTTTAAGTCCGGGACAAATGTCCTTTTAGACACATTAAGCCCGAGTTCCGTGGCATGTCTTTCCCACACGACCAAATCCTGGTTTCTTTCAAAAGTGCCAAAGGTACGAGGCCACTAGGCAGCGCTTGACAGACCTTGCGCTTGCCCATCGTTTTGGCCGACTTGGGCTGGTGGATGAGAGTGTGCATCAAAAGGGCTCTCCATGACGCGCAGTGGTATTTCTTTCTTATGCTGCATCCTGACCATGTGTGACGAAATGGTGGCTCAATGCGGAAGATGGAGCTATTCTTGCACGGTTCAGACGCAGGCCCGGCATGAAGCAACCCTAGCAGGGCCCCGGCCATTAGCAACCTTAGCACACAAGCATGTCGATACACCGTGCATCAGGGCTTTGCTCTGTCGCTCCATGTCACGATCTTTGCCCGTATGATCCTGTGTGGCTGGTTGGCCGTTTTTTGGCAGCTCGGACCCTTGCTTGGCAGCATTTCTAAGGTTCAGCTTCTCACAATTCCCCAGCCATCTTGGACCCCACAGCATCGCTGTCCCCTGGGGCTCCTGGCACAACACTTCCACCAAGGTACGCCAAGGTACGACTGCCGATGGCAAAAGCTGTGCCAGGCGCTGCTCCGCACCCACAAATCTGGGGAGAAGGTTTGAGCCAAGTTTGAGGATCTCTTAGGAAGCTCGGGTACGAAAAAAACAACTCGAATCTTTGACAGCACTGCCAAGCCGAACCTGGCAGTTTTTTTGCGGAGGAGTGGGAGGTGTTTCTCAAGCCGCGCGCTTGGCTTCTGGCTTCTGGGAAGTTTACGCCACGTTGCCGTGTGCGCGTGGCTCGAGAGGGTCTCGCAAACCAAGGAAGCCTTCTGCAGGAGGAGCTGCGCTCACAGCTCTCAGGGCACGATGCTGAGACAGGGGCAGGGTTTCGGGTTTCGTGTGTAGAGGTTCTGATTGAAAGCTTTTTTGGAGGGTTCTGGGGCTTTCTATATGTAGGCTTCAGGGTTTGGGGGGTGTAGGATTCAGGGTTCAGGGTGAGCAGCCTCGGGATTGCAGAGTTCAGTCGCGTTCACTGACCCCCAGGGTCGGTAGGTTGGAGCTGCGTTCTGAAGACCTGGACTAGAAGCTCTGAAACCTTTAGTCAGTACACCCTGCGCACTACCGTCAGGGACTCTTGTATGTGTCTTCGCTAGAGCACAGATTTAAGGTACGTAGCCAGCAAGCCTAACCCCCCCGAAGATGCAGAGCCATTCGCCGGCCGTCAAAGCGCTTGAGAAGTTTGTAGGATTTAGGGCTTAGGGTTTTTACAGGGCTGCCTAATTATCCGGAAATTCTCAAGGCTGGGTCACTAAGTCACCCAAAACTCCTTCGACTGACATTCTGAGGCCCAAGCAGGTACATGGATCTCGTGAAGGCGCTTCCTCATTGGAGCTTTGGGAGCAGAGAATTCATGTATGCGCGCCATGACTTCCAACACCCCGAAACACTGAGCTCTACATTGGCGTTGCTTGCAGTAGCTGTGGCACTGTACCCGGGCATCTTGCTGTGCATACGGCAGCAGCTAGCAAATAGACGTTTTTCGAGTGGGTTGACAAGCTATGTGGTTTGAGTCGGATCTCCATGGAGTGGGAGTCGGACTTTCCGTCTGCCAGGCGTCAGTCTTCGAGCAAAGCACAGTCCAGCACTTAAGCCCACAGACTGTTCTCAAGACATCAGGAGAACGGAGCGCCAAGTAAGTCCAGTAATCTACTTTGACACCCAAGTTCAGGTGACGCAACCAAGTCATCTGGCTAAGACTGGCTTAGCCGCTTAACACGTTTCGCATATGTAGGGCCCAAGGGGCTCATTGAGGCTTCATGCTCCAGCGCACCTTTTTGAGGCTGATGAAGAAAGTATCCTGTGTATGGAGTTCAGGATTAAGAAAAGACCTCACTTTCATCTGCCCGCTTGCATCTCGGAAGACACAGAAGGAGTGGGTGCTCCTACACCACTGAGCTACGACAGATACCGGGCTTGTAAGATAGGAGGGCTCAGCAGATTGTAGGTCTTTTGCGGTTATAAAAAAAAAGGAATTTGCACCGTGAACCTACACAAACTACAGCTTGAGCCCTGAGTCGTCACTTACTTCCTGTACACTTCTTGCCTACCCCTATGCTTTTCCCTGCGAATCTCCGCCAGACATCGGTGCAGACTCCAAGCGTTAGAGTTTCCTCCCAAAGCCCTATAGACTCTAGACCGTACTCCACAGTGGGCGTATAAACTTACAAACCCTTGCGGCACTGCCGCACCTGAACCCTGAACCCTAAGATGTGCTGCTGCTGTTCCTGAGGCGGCACCGCCTCTTTGAGTACCTGGCAGCGCTAGGAACGAGCCGCTTCAGCAAGACCTGTCATGCTCCACACGTCTTCAGGGAGTTCAGTATTGTAGGGGGGAAGGATTTAGGGTTAAAAGTTGTTGTGCATGTTTCTGCTTGCGTCCAGGGGCCTCTCCTGTTTGATGTTTGGGTTTCGGGCGCAGCGAGTTGGGAGAAGACGTTCGGAGCTTGTCGGGTGTTTTGAACGTTTTGGATGTATACATCAGCCCATGTCCAAGAATGCAGAACAGGAGTGAAAGGTTCCAAAGCCAAATGCCTTAAACTACCGAGGGGTACTGAACATGGTTCAAGGCATGCTGCTGAGTTAAGGTGTATATTCAGGGCCCATGAAACTACCCTTAGAAGAGAAGTTAAGGGGTATTGGACTCTCTGGGTAACTCCACTTCGGTGATTTTGGGCTTCATAAACCATGGCAAACCGATCATGGAAACGATGAAAACTACAAGTTCAAAGTGAGCCACGTTTTTGTTTTGGACTTGAGGGTGTTAAGTGTCGAGCTTCAGGTTTAGGATTTAGCCCCCTACACCCGAAGCACGTTCCTGCTCCTAAGACCCTGCCTTCACGCCGGGGCCCACACTCATTTGCCGATTGCATGAACACTTGTCGCAGGTGAGCTGTTGCACACAAAGCACGGAGTAGGAGCTTTGTAAAAGACATACGTACTCAAACAATTGTGTCCATCGCGACGCCTCTGGTCTTTTGAGGGGAGCCCTTCCCTCTGTAATTTTCCGGTCCGGGCATTTTTTGGAAGACATGCTGCTTGGGGGTCGGAGCGGTGGGCGATTTCGATGCTAATTTGGCAGACTTTCGAAGCAAAGAAACGTACGCCTCATCTCACGCCCTCCGGGTTTGTTGTTCACGGTCTATAGCCCGAAACCCAAGCCAAAGTAACCTACGACTTCAAGGCTTCCCATGTTCATGTTCGGGATGCCAAATAAAAGCATTGTCCCATTGTTGCCTGCATTGCTTTGATGGCATGTGGTGTTCGACGTCTTTGATCCTGATGGGCTTCCTTGCTGCACGAAGCTCATCCGGAGCCTAGTCAAGGTTCTGCCGAGCGCGCCCTTAAACGCCAAAGCAGTCTGTGATGAGTGGAACCCAGACCGTTTTGAGGGTTCTCCGGGCTGTTGGGGGTTTCAAGGGACCGCGGAGGGAGGGAACTCAAAGTCCCAACCTAAGGTGCCTCCATTGGGTTACTAGGGCTCTGGGTACAGGTGTTAAGGGGGAAAAGTGGAAGAGGGCAAGCTGAGGCTTTCGAGTTCAGGGTTTGGGGCTAGTGGGTGGA